AAAGCCGCTTTAAGGTTCGTGTTATTATTGGATGATTTGTTTTTCCTTATGTAACTAGTTGCTAAAATCAAAGCGTTTGGTATTTTGTAATGTTAGGCATTGTAATTTTAAGATTGTGGGAGACTGTATGTTGCTGATGGAAAATGGAAGTTGCGTTATGCGCATTGCATGTGGAAAGTACGAATCAATATCTCAGGGTTTGGTCAGGTTAACTATCCAGATGTTTGTCCATTATCTCAAAGCGTGGGCAAGCATTTTGTGAGCTACTTTGTGACAAGGCAGAACAGCTCGGTTACCCTTAAGGGAATTTTACAAATATTGTGGCATTAACAAAAAGGATGTGCTCACAAGTAGTATCGTTAATTACATGTTTCACATTGAATTATTGATTATTAATTTTCTGAAGAAATAAATCACAATTTTACTGAAAATTTTACTTTGTGAAAGTAAATTTTACATCAGACTGGCTTTGCCATTGATTTTAACCTATGTATATGAATCAAATAGTCATTTTGCTGTGGAGATAATCTAATGTTTACATGTTTTTGCTTTCAGCTTTAGAAGAAATGTCTTCAGATGTACCAATCGCAAGTAATGTAAAAGTGAGTGTGAAATTAAGATAGTCAATTATTGAATAACTGTTTTTTACTGATTAAAATTTCAGAAACCATGTTTGAAAAGATTGATGTGTGCCTGGATTTGCCAAAACTCAAAATAGAAATGAGGTTAAAGTATCTTCATATCAAGGTTTTTTGCTTTTTAGTTGTTATTTTGAACAACATTGAATTTGAAGCAATGAAGCTTTATTTATGATCTGCAACAAGATCGCTATTTCCCACGACACTGTGCATGTTCTCAACATTTTGAGAGATTAATTCTGTTATCATTCATTGTGAAGGAACCTCGACTTTTATTGAAAATGATCCTGGATTTGTACGTGAGTGACGACACAAAAATTAAAGAACTTTTCTTAAATAAAAACACCGGAGGTCACGGGGTATGTTTTTCGTTATAAGTGCTGGCGGCCACTTCGAATACTGGAAACCACTTTACAGGTATAACATGCAATATTTCAAATCTCATGAACAGTTTGTACGAGTATTTTATTTGTTTTATTACTTCAGGTTTGAGTCTCCAACACAGGCGTTCCTGATTATAATCCTTTGGTTGTATCGGAAGTTTAAGCATATGAAAATGGTCATTTCTGACAAAGAGATTTGTCGAAAGATTCTGTCCTTATGCTTATGCTGCGATAATAGGTGCCACATGGACAGTCTGCGTATTTCGAGATAAGATTTACCTCTGCCTAAACCATTTGATGGAGCATGGCAGCTAATTGCAAAATGCATTGATCGATTTCGTTTAAGAAATCATGTTGATCCAACATGCAAAACATTATATAATGCTGACAAAAAAATTCCGAAAGTACTAAACATCATGGTATGCGAGTAAACTTTGTATGGGCCAGCAGATTTAAAAGTTATTTTGCCGCAAACGCGTCAGTTGTTTTTCTTGCATCGTTTATTTCAATATGGGAACAGATACACGGAAAAATGCCATCGCCAGAAAGACTCTATATTTGCCCAAAGGAAAAAAGCAACAGAAATAAAATGACTTAAAAGTATGACTAGAAACACTGGGGAAATAACAAATATAATTTGATGCAAACTTCTTTCAGATTTATTTAGCCTAATGTCGTTCAAAGTTCAAACACAATTTTAAATTGATTTGTACGATTTGCAAGTGAAAAAATCAAGTTTTTTCGCCTCTTTGTAAGATAGGCCACCGCAGGCGCAGTGCAGCCACTGTTCACATCGATTGCACATACTCATGCAGGCAATTGTTTTCTTTCTACATGTTATGGAACACCAGCTTGAACGTTCTTTGTCGTCAACTTCCTTTCGCTCTAAGGCTGAACTGCTAGGCGTGGAATGGCACGCTGTAGGTAGACGACAATCGAATCTTAGATAGATCCAAGCTGTATCTATCTATGAGGTTTAACTTCATTGATTTCAAAAGTTCAATTTAGAATTGATGTGCTTACCATCACTGATATCCGATAATTCATATTCGATGCCTAGCCATATTGTAAGGAATACGTCAAAAAGATGAGTTGTCGTTGAAAAAACTAAATTTTTTTTGCATTAAGAAGTTTGACAAGGTAGTTACAAATTTTTGCTTCACTGCAGTACAGAAACATGGAGATTATTATCAAGATCGTAATGACAGTAGTGAAAGTTGTTGCAGTGTAACTTTAATGCTAGTCGTGAAAGCCAATCGGTCGATGACGTATTGACCATGAGTCAAACAACATTAACAGCTTTGCTAATGTTCGGCTAACCTCTACCAAAAGAGGGGCACTTTTACCTGAATCGTCCATATTTTCCAACGTCGGCACGTCATCGTTTGCAACTGCAAAATATTTTAGTAATAGTGGTAACAAAAACCATATGTAATTAATTATGATTTCTTGAAGAAGTCAAATAATTTTGGATATTGGGATTAAAAAAGTACTCATAAACTCACTCGCTATTGTTGTAAGACTTTCTGACACAATGGACTGTACTAAATAATTTTCTTTATGAAAGGAAGACTTGGAAGATGAAGCAACTTGCCCCGCCTTCTTTACCCTGCACAATTGATCTTTTAATCTTTTAATTTCTGATCTCAGCATTTCGATCTCTTTCTCAAGAACTTTTACTTTGCTTGAAAAGTTCTCTTTCTGTATTTCAGCATCGCTTTCATACCATTTTGTGACTTTCTCTATTTGTAGGGAGCATATCGTTGGAGAACACTTGCGTTGAGATTCGCACACGGCATACTTTTCTTTCCCCGGAGGATCGAGAGCGGAAATCGGTTATCGCTCCGTCAATCCCTTTTATTATTTGTCTCACTGAATCCTCTGTTGGTGCTTTCAGCCTAGCTGCTCTGACAACTTCCAGTGCTTTAGGTAGAATGAAAGTAATGGAAGCGACGCCATTAAGACCTTCACATCGTTTCTCATCCCCTTTTTTATCTTTAAGTATGAATGCTAGATGAATAATGATTCAGAAGACAAACTCCAATCTGTTGCATTTGTATTTGGTTCAATCTACGTCTCACAATAGCTAATTTATATACTAGTGAAAAAAAGTATCAAAAAATAGCTAAAACTAAATTTCAAAAACATTGGAAACCACTATATGTGTACGAATTCCATAAGATTATTACAATAAATATTACAATTAACTAGACAACTGGTTACACTAAAAGTATGAATTTTCAAGATTAGAGAAGTATGTATTTGATACAGACGTATTTGAAAATAAAGTCAATTTCATTTCATTTCAAAACAGTTGTATTTTTCTGGCATTTCATGTAAAAGTTATTTTTTTTGCTGAAAATCAAAACAAAAATTTACCTCGTCTTTATTCATCTTCAAATGTTGGATTCTGTTAATAATGACACAAAGCAAATCCTCTATTCCCGTTGGTGTTTCAGCTAACAGAGAAATCATAAAATGAAGTGGCGTATGGCAGGAATTCCTTCTTGAAATAGCAATCGATATCCTCCTTTGACACAATTGTTTCGTCTAATTCGGCAATCTAGAATTATTTTATTAATAAATATTTTATGAGCAAAATATTTCACACTAGCACAAAACGCTGCGTATTTTAGGTAAATTTTTAATGATAGCTTTCGTAGAACAAATCGTAGGTTGAAAATGCTTGCAAACTGCACATAAGGTTGCAATTAGCCTTATCATTTGAAGAATAGATTCTTCATGTAGAGATGTGTACAACAAAATATACCAATGATACTATACTATCTAAATACCTTGTGTGAAGAAGTCGGTAAATCGAGTAGGTTCCACTGACCAGGAATAAAGAGCTTTTCTCCCATCAAGAAAAGTTCTCACGTCGTCTCCATAATCATTCAGCAATTTTCTGAAGTATATCGGAGTTGTTCTTTCAAACGAGCTATAAATGAAATATTAGCCAAACATAAACATCTCAAATCTTGCAGCAAACCTTTCTATTCAGTTTAGGAGAGATCTCTTAAACATGATATCTTTCATTCAAAAAGCTTGTTATTCACCTTCCCATGTGAAGTTAACTGTAAGCAGAAATGTTGCTTGAGGAACTTTATGGCCGCATTCGTAAGTTTGATTTCCGAGACCGTTGACTACACTGACTAACAGACGAGTCAACACGACTGGCATGCGAAGGGTCATCCCAAGCCAAAGGTATTGATTTCTTGGTCATCTTGGATACTACGTACTCTCCTGATGATTGAAAACAGTATATGTAAGCTCAACAACTTTCTTATGACTTTAAGTGCAGTTAATTTACCACTTGATACTTCTACAGTAGCAACAGGACATGAACATAATACATGATAATTATGCACTTGCATGATAAAAAACCAGATAAAATCTGCTATACACATTTAACGTAATGAACGCACACCACTTCCTCCTTCAAACAAGATCTTTTTGCAATGGATGGAAGCCATGCCACCAGAAAGAAACATTAAGAGCGTCAAAATTTTTCCTTATAGAATTCTTTACACTGACCAATAAATCTGGTCCAATTAAAAAACCGGATGGGATGTTCAAAACGCACTGTCCGATCTTCAATATCAAGATATCTATTAATGCGTTCGTAGCTTCTTGCTGCAGGGATTGCTTATAAAAAAGGAACCATCAAAATTTTCGTCCAAATTTCTTCTGCATTACCCCTTCGTGGTTTATCTAGAATTTGGTTAAAATAAACTTCAGCTTTTTCTCAAATTGAACCCAATTTATAAATTTTCCGCGAAACGTACGAACACGCAAAGAGATCAGAAAAACAATGCCGTTGCTATGTGAGGGGCACGTACCCCCTAAAATTTTTGTTACTCTGCAAGTGCCTCCTCATTTGAATCTCGGATTGGGCTCTTAGGATGCAGCATTAGAAATTGAGAAAGCAGCACATGGCATTAGCGAGCTTTAGCTAGTCTCTCAAAATAAAAAAATGAACTGGCTTTAGAGATCCATACTATTGCTATTGTTTTAATTATTTGGACTAATTTTTAGATTATACTAAATAAAATTTTAAAACAACAAGCCTTACGCGTTGTACTAAAATATTTGCAGAAAACGTCCAAGATCTTAATTGTCAAATTTTCAGACACAATATTGTCAAATGGATTTGGTAAATATAATAGCCTTTTTTATGACACTAAAACATTTTTCTTATTATGAAAAACTTTATCAGCTTTCTCTATCACTTCCAAATGAAAGTCATTCATTTCTTTTTTTAATTTCTTGTGATGTTCTTCAATTCTAACTTTCAAAATTTCCTCAAGATGCTGTCGTGTTAGAGTGTCAGGTTCAACTTCATCATCGCTTTCCTCGTCATTGTAGAAAATGTTCATTTCTCCAGAAAAAAATCGATTCAAATTATCCTTAAACGTTTTTCTGCGATTTGGATATTCCGTGTACACAATTGGATATTTTCTTCGACGGAAACAAGGCAATCGAGCGAACAGCGAAGATTCTACTGCCATCATGAATCTCATCTGCAAAATTAGAGAGTTGGACATACGATTGTTCAGAATAATGGCGAGAGACTTGTCATGCGGAAAACGGATTTGTGTTAAAAAAAACAATCGTCCAATATAAAATTTGAAATAAAGCCATATTTTTTAAATAAATCGTAAGTCATTTTTAAAAAGCTAAGCTACATGGCACTTCAACACTACTCCTTTAGTGCAAATATCAATTCTATTAAATTTCTACAATAAAAGTTTATTTAACTTGCACGTTAAAATATGAGCAATGAATATGTTTCATTTATTGAAGTTGAGCTTGAAAAACAGTTTGTTTTAAATTGACATCGACAAGGGCAAATCTGAGCTGCGACAAATAAAATTAAAGTTTTTAACTTGAAAACAGTTTGATGCTATTCTATAATGAACCCATTTCAAACAATAAAGTATAGTGTTAAAAATAAGTATGTCTTAAATGACACTACACAAACTTACATGTTGCTTGTGCCTTTGAACTGTGGCCATTTTTATCACGTCCTGGGTATCTCCGACAGCTAAGCCAATCAACACGTTGTTTACAACGATCACCATTAGTAGTAGGAAAATAATGAACATGGAGAGTTTGAAAGAATAAAAATTCTTGTAATAGCCAATGTTCAGGAATAAATCATCGTAACTGAAGTCACCAAGCATCGAAACAAACGTACTTAGTACAGCTATCGGAAAGTTCTCAAATCTCGAATGTTCAGCCAGCAGTAGGTAAAATGTTGATGCAAACGCCATACAGAACAACAAAATTATCAGAAGCATCTGCAATAACGAATATCAATTGTCCAAATTAGATCAAGGCAAAAAGTTGGCATAGCAGTCGGAAAACGACGTGTTATAAAAGTAAAGTTAGCAGGTATAGCGTTGTAATTACAATGTTTTAGGAAATTACATTTACAACAAGATGATTTTCAAGGCAGGTCCTACAAAAATAGGTAAAACGATCAAATAGTAGGCATTTTAAATAAAATTTGATTTCATCAACTAATAAAGGAAAACGTTTTGAGTGAGCGTGATGATTTAGAACCCAACCCCTAAGACTTTTCACTACCGTGTCATGTTGAGGCAAGGACGCCAATTTGAAAGGTGAAACGAAGAAGCAAATTTTAGTCCTAAATACATATCGGCAGTTTGGCCAACCATTCATATGACAATATAGCTCATATATATTGTGAGATTGGATTCAATATTTAAATTCTTTCCATCTTCATCAAATTTTTGTCTTTTTTTTTGTGATTTTCAATGTCAAAATGTTATTATTAAAAACTAAAAATTGGTGTATTTTACCCTTGAAAGTATAACACCACATATACAGTATGGGAACTACTCTACGCAACGTATATCTAGTTTATTTATTTTCTTACCTTCATTAAAGTTTTTGTTGTCTTCTGTATTGTTAAAATGTACGTGCCGATGTCAGGAATTCTTCGTAGAAACCAGATGAGATCAAACCAAGAAATGCAGATTGCAATTGCTGCTGCAAACTGACGTTCGGTTTTCGTTTGTCTTATGGGGAATATGAAATACAGAACGCACAAAAACAAAGTCCATTCAAAGTAATTTGTCAGTTGCTTGAAATACTTCCAGCGATACGAATTCATCTAAAATCGGCGATGTATAGAATTTGTTAAGGAAAATTTATAATCCAATGAAAACCAGGCATTATTAAACACTTTCTTAGAGACGCAATCGCGTTTAAAACAGATAATTCATCTAAAATGTGTAAAATTTTATAGTCATCACACCTGCACAAATTCCTTGAGAACATTCAATACTGTTAAAGTAACAATGATAGAAGTGGCAATAACTGGTCCAGTGTCGTCAGGGTTTGCAATAGGTCGTGGATAATTTGTTGACAGTGTAGCATTTCTGGAGTGCTCTAGAATGGACGATAATCGCCATCTAAACAGTACTGAAAAACTTTTTTGAGTTTTTAACCTAATGGGAGTATTTTTGACAACGTATACAAAGACATACCATTCCCCTCTCTAACTACTTCTACCAAGTTAGACCAGTTTGTTCATTACGTTTTCAATAAACGTCGACGTAGTTTACGACAGTGAAAAAAATTAACGATAGTATTAGCGATAAGTTAGCTATTAATTTATTATGAGATAATTATGAGGTAGACTACGATAAATTAATGAACGATAAGTCAATTATTAGTTATGTTATATTCTTATATCATTATTTTAATTATTAGTTATTTTTGTTATAATTGTTATGATTGACAACTATGTTATTATTGTTGTTATAATTCATAGTTTTTTATTAGCTGTATGCTATTGTGTTATTATTTTATTCAAAATTATTTTATATTTTATATAATATTTTAAAATATCTTATCTGAAGTTTATATCTTACTTTTTTTTCACACATACGTATTATTTTTTCGCAGGTTTTATATATTTTACAATTTTTTAATAGAGAATTGTTACGTTATCTATAATCAACTATGAAGCAGTCGTTGAAGGTATTATCTAGATTGCTTTAATTCTGATGAACTGGATGTTATGGTTGGGATTTTAAACATGGAATACACAAAATTCAACAGAGCCTCTTCGAAGCTTATAAAAAAGTAACAGTATAGTTTACCGTTATTATGCAACCACTGTTTAGTAATTCCACCGCGTACCAATGCGACGTAAACATTAAATAAAATGTGAAAGCACGCGAAGAGGATAAAATCGATCAAAAAAATGTAACATCCTTTCTCTCGCCATTTAACACTCATATATTTCCTGCAAAGCTTGTGAGTCAAGCACTTCTCTTCGTCATTCTTCAGTATTGCTTTCAGTGCATGAAATGCAGGTGGATTAGAACCTAAAAATATCTAAAATATTGGCATTCTTTCCATGCACTCAATCACAATATACGGTATAAAATTTGTATTGAACCGGTATACGTCACACCAAGCAAGTGTGCAAACGCATGCTTAGGAACTAAAATAGGGTCTGCTTCTAATTCATGTAGTTTGTGAATTGTTGCGTTTTGAAACATAAAGGAATCGGGAGGAGTGTCGTAAGATGGCGATTATCGTAGGTAAATAAGGTAAACAATATCCTCACCTGCATTATCAAAAAGAAAGAAATCGTACGTAACATTGTAGTCAAGCGAATGACGCTTGTCATCACTGGTCACAACACAACGATCGAGCAATAATTTGGCTTGATTGGGCATCTTCTCAGCAAGGTACGCAAAGCATTTCATCGCCCCATTCTTCCAATCACAAATGAGCTTAAATTAAGGAAACTTGAACTTAATAAATGACATTCTTTGTAAAAGAAACTTGTGCTCTTCTTGGTGTACCATTAAAAAGGAGCTTCACTAATCCACCACAGAGCCACATATTTTTTTTCTTTTAATGATTAATAACGTTGATTTGACAATCACTTGCCACATGAACAGAGCAATCACCAGACAAAAAGTAAATATTCATCCACTCAGCAGCGGAACACTTTTTTGTATTTTTACAATAAAAAATCCTGTTACTTACGTCTTTCCAGTAGGTGCTCATCAGCAACTCGTTAACGACATACTCTTGTTTGTGAATTATAGCGACTTCCAGACAGTTTTTACCATCTGTACTTCTTGCTTGTGGATCAGCACCATTTTCCAGTAGAAATGAGACAATATTTCGGAAATCTTTGGCACAGGCAACATGTAATGGTGTTCTCTCTTCCATGTCTGTTGCATGTAACAGAGTGACTTCATCGACCGCCAACAAGTCAACGTTGGATATAGACCCAGCCTGAGCAGCTTCGTGAAGCAATGTTGACTTGTTGTTATCTCTGACAATAAAATAAAATATAATTTTGTTGTTTTACCTTGCCAAGAGCAGGGGCGTCCAATTGTTGATATTTTATTTTAAAAAGTAAACTTTTTGAGAATTTACTTCCTTTGCAGGTTGAAGATAATATTGAGCATGCGTACGATTTTCAAGCACGAGTTACACTAAAGAGTTTGTTTTACAAGAGAATTGCTCATGGTGAAAATTAAAACAGTTTTTCAAGAATTAAATTATTAATTAAATTAAAATTATTAATCCTACGATAAAAATATAGATGAATGGCATCACTACCTCTTATTACAAACCTGCAATTTATATGTAAAGTCTTAATTAAGAATTAAATATAAAAAAATCGTCTTTTTGTAAGGGATTTTCAAAAATCAATCGTATTTATGCAATTATATAGAGCAGCTAAAGAAATTCAGTTCTCCAAGAGGTAGATGCAAATAGCTCATTATTGTGCATACAACAGATTCAATTTGTTGAGATTTATTCTTTTCAAAGTGCTTTAGCACTATAGCTTTGGTACTATGATTAAGGTGAATTCATATTTCCCTATTTACAAACAAACAATATAAATATTGAAAATCAAATATGAATATGTCCAAAAACATTTTCGAATCGAAACTAAAAGAACTGTAAGAAAATCTCTTGCATTATCTTTATCACTAGTTATATTCTCGAGTCCATCGAGTGCAAATGCTATTTGCAAACTTGCATCCTCACAATTAACTATAGCTACTATGGAAACGTTTTATGTAAGTAAATTAACCAACAACTCTCCAAACGTCTTTGTCTAATTATACATACGTTTCCAAAATGTTTGCACCGCGCGAGAGAAGAATGTCCAAAAGAAAGGATTCCTGAAGAGCAGCGGCATAATGCTGAGGTGATCTTCCTTCATCATCTTTATCAAAGAGGGATTCTGGGCGAACCGAAAGAATATCTTGTACGATGTATGGATTGCACGAATCAACAGCACAATGAATCAATGTCTGTCCATTCTTAGAGCTACGAAGAGCGTAAACATTCTCATCCACACCAGCAAGAATTTGTAGGCTCTATAAAAAGAAAATAGTACTGTTGCTATCAGAAGAAAAAAATCAAACGAGTCGTTCAACCAAGTCGAAGCACGCTTTGCACCACTGGAATTGAGCCTATCTATAAGTTGAAGCCAAAATTAGGTCAAAATGAAAATTTAAATCAATAATTCAAACTGCTATTGTTTATTAAAAGGATAAATAACTAACCCCTAATGGCTGGCAGCTGATGTTCATGTTAAATTGATTCAGTTAGTCAGATAGATAGGCAGTCAGATAGATGGTTTATTTCATAAAAACCTTGCGGGCAATGGGCTAAATATGCTAATATTTACAAGTTGGAAACTTTTTTAGGCATTTCACTGATTGATGCTCTTGTTAAAATAGAATATACGGACAAAATCATGATGCTTAATGAAAGCTTTTGATCAGGAGACGGCAGAAGAAAATTGTTTTTGGGATGGAGAGACACAGCAATTATTAAACTAGAGACTGCGAAGCAGGGTGGATCATATAATTTTGATCGCTTGACGTTTTTGCCAGATTTATATTTAAGAAACAAAAGATGTGTAGTATGTTTGCACTGGCTTATGCAAACCGAGGAGACCTTTGGGAAAGTTAAGAGCAGATCAGTGCAAACCCAAAATCGAAAGAAATTAGGAATGGTATAAAAAGTGGAAGCACATTGACACCATAAATGTGATGCAATGTCCCGCTCCTCGTCGAACAGATTTTGTTAATATTGCTTTGAACACGGTTTAACTTGTGCATTGAAAACCAAACATTGTTTTCTTATCGTAGGCATTATGTTATTTCCTTATACTTTTGAAAATTTAGCACTGTTCTTCATCAGAGAATCTCAAATAACGACAGACAGCTAAGGCGAATTGCCTTTTCCGGAGGTTCAAAGATATAGGAGTTCTCGGAACAAACTTTCAATTTTTAAGAGGTTCTACGTCATCGTCTTTAAAGAGCAGATTATGATGAAAGGGAAAGATTTCAAATACCTTTCTTTGACTGTACAATACAGCAACATGAGCTGGCGTGTGACCATTCAAATCTTCACTGTGGAGAGCTTCCATGAGCTGTTCATGCTGTTGAAAAAAAGAGAATAAAACAGGAAGAAATTCAATCAATGCTATTTTCGTTGTCGTGCTCATAAGCCTTTAATCTCGAGTCTCGTGAACGACAATTCAAGCATGGGAAATTAATTTATGAAATTGTACAACTGGAAAGAGCTACGTATATTGCTGCAAGCTTGATTTCAGTTTTATTTTAAGCAATATTACTCTTAAAACAAAACTTGCTGCCTATTAAATTTTGGATTGCAACAGCGATTCTGGCTCAAACTTCATACATGGTTACTTTCTAGTCATGATGAACAAGCAATAAAATCCCATAGTTAATAATTTCGATTGGAGAGTGTTTGACTTTCTGCAAAAAGTATTGACTCTGCAAATTCGACTTCAAACAGCAATTATGTATATAACTTCTGATATTTACGTAGGCAACATTTTAATTTCTACAAGCAAAGCGTATTTTTGAAGACTCAAAAGTCGGGCAAATTATCAACATTTTTCAAGCGAAAAAAGAAAGTATCATGTGTAATTTCAAGTCAAAAATTCCGTCTTCCCATTGTGATTTGGGGAAATCATTTACTGCCCCACAGAAACGATAGCTCCCCTACGCCTATATGTGTAAAAGTGGACATTAAGCAGTGGCGTAGCCAGAGGTCGTCCTGGTCGTGCTGAGGACGTCCAAACATTTTTCAAACTAAGATTTTTTTAACCCACTAAAATTTCAATATTTGTTTATAAGGTTAACAGATATTAGCGAAAACAAAATCTTTTTCTAATGCTTCATTTGCGTTTTGAAATATGTACTTCATATTACTTACACTATATCACGTTTCCGCCCGAAAACTGCCCTAATCATTGCCTAAAAGCACATGGAACAGCCTTTGCCCGTTTTTGATCGTGCTCTACTCAGGCCGGCATGACCAAATTATATATTCCTAAGCGCTGATTGGCTAGAAAACCTTACGGCCTGTTAAAGTGGTTATAGCCAGCTCTAGTTTGGTCGTGCTGTGATCAGGCGAGAATGACCAAAACATAAATTACTAATAATATATAAGGCTGCATTGCGTCGTACGCATGCTCAATCGCCGAATATTTTCCTTTGGTCGTGCCAAAGTTTATTAGCACGAGTATTTCAAATATTGTCGAATTATTCATCGTTTTACTGTGTTATTGGATTTATTCTTGTCCGTGAACGTGGAAATCAATCAAAGACAACATTGACTAAAATTGTTATCATGCATAATTTACTGGGCGATTGCCAAAAGCATGAAATATCAAAGTCGCACATTAAAGCGTACATAAACGGCGGCACAGACAACTTATGTTGCCACCAACTGTACAGGAACTTCATGTTTGTTCTCGTTACAGCACGACCAGTTGTTTTTGTCTAGCTACGCCACTGACATTAAGCATTTTAATATTTTCGCCTTAGAATCTGAAGATGTCTTTATAGTTAGGCAACGTCCTCAATAAAAAACCTTTTAATTTAATTTTTTGTAATATTTTTTTACCACAATCGTATATGGCCACGACATAATACGTACCTTCTCAAAATGTTTTAAAAGAATTTCCAGTAGCTCCTCTCTTTGGACACTGAGATGAAATATATTTCTACGTATGTCATCGGTGTCTGCAATACTGAGGTGCTCATTCTTTGTCTTTTCAAGATATCGCTGCGTCATCAGAATGCCTCGTCGGACAGCTCTAATAAGATTGGCAAAGGAAAATTACAAGTTAATTGACACAAATGACACATAAATCATCAAAAGTTTAAATTGATCCAGAGAGTGTTTTAGCAACGTACCGAATCAATGGGTTCGATGGAGACTTTTTTGCCTTTAGACAAGAGGTCGCAGAAGATGGCGTTTCTCCATTCGTATTTTTCCTTTCTATTAGTGGAGTGCTATAGTCCGATTTCATTTCTAGAGCATTTTAGAAAGGTATGTGTTCATGAGGTATCAATACTTCATTGATGGCGGCAGTAAGAAGCCAGACTGATTAATGGGAAAAATTTTAAAGAAACTATAATAAGACGTGGAAGATTGTATAAAGTGATTTAAATATGGTCAGTTCAAAAAAATATAAATGAAGAGGGAGCCGTAACGTATTTTTAAATACAAAATTTTGATCATTTTTCTTAGCTATAGGCATATTAAGCAAATGTCTTTTCTTTTCACATGATACATAAATAACTTGATGGAAATAATGAGGCACATTCTGCGTACTCCAAAAATCAAATAATCATGAACACTAGTATCGTCATTGCCATTATCATTTTTTGCAACTATTAAGAGGCGGGTGGGGGGAGGCAAAACCTGACGTTTACTCTTCATTTGACTCTAAGGTTGTCGAAAGATCTGTCAACAACAATAGAAACAGTTTTTCTCAGGACTATACTAACCTGGACGATCTACATCTCCAAACATGTAATATTACATGTTATTTGAAACGCTGCGGTGTCAAGGTAAGTTTTTAACGATTTGTTTTTATATTGAATAATTTTAATCTTAAATTATACTGATCGGATTTTAGTTATTTGTTAAGAATATTTATCACCACTGCTATGGCAAAAAAAAAAGAAATACAGCTGCTGATATATGTCCATGCGTTTATTGGAAACATGGTCTTTCAACTCTTACTAGCTCTTCGCTCAAAACCCAAAAAACTTCTCACCGAATGACAAACATTGGCCGTTTTTAGGCGGATAATACGTCTGGACGACTTAAGATGGATTTCTTAACTCGATGTGTCACTTAAATCGTCGGAAGGATAAAGAATTAGCTAAAGCAACGATTCGACAAATTAAAGCTGCAAACCTGTCTCTATTAATTGATTATGCTGATAGTGACTAAAACACCACATGAGTAAATATGAGTGGCATATACGAGTAACAAACGGGTACACACACGAGTGACATCTGTGTACATGCGAATGACATACGAGTACGTACGGGTCAAAAATGAGGAAATTGATACTTTTTTAAAGTTAGTTTGATTACTGCTTGTATTCGTCCGTGAAGACTATTTGCTGAATAGGTATATCATTTGCATACAACATTCCTTTGTATGTTTAAAGAATGTGGTCAACCAAGATGCATTGCGCGTTAATCACAGCGTAACACATAGAGATTATAAATAATAATAGGGTGGCATTGATGAAGAATTTAGGCGACGCGTGAATTGGGGGGCAAATTTAGGTTCCAGACAAAAACACGAAGTAAACAAATGATGTTTTTCCCGTCTGCTTCGAGTTTTGGATTCTTTGTGAACATACTTTAATAAGTTTTTTTGCGTTAGTGCTTCTTTATAGCGAGCTCTTAAAATGATTATATGCTGTTTATAATCTCCGTATGCTTTGTATGTTTTAATTAAAATACACGCAATGAAAACTTATGTTATTCTTTTTTGTTTTTCTGTTTTTACAACCCACATATTCACATAATTTAACCATTTTTAACATTTTTGCGGTATGGATGACAAATATGTCTTTTTTGAAGTCTGTTAGCAGTTGAATTAAAGACGAAAAAGAACTTCTTATCAAGCAACGCCTTGCGGAGAGTCTAAAAGAAACACAAACAAGTTTTGACAAAAACGAGTGGCTTAAACCACCTAAAATTAAGAAAAAAAGGAAAGCATTGTTCAACAATTAGATTGTGATAGTATTTACTATGGTATTTACGCATAATATATACAAAAAAGTGAGAAAATCATGGTTGACCACTGTAGCTTAACATCCGCGAATGAATTTTGCCCCAAAAAACGCGTACAATATTTTGAACTATAGATTATATTACGATGCCACCTCTAGTATTATTTATAATCTCTACGGCGTGACGGCCATTTTGTGGATCGAGAAAATGGCGGATTTTGTTACAGTAGTCCGTGCAACTAAGACGATTCGACGAACAAAAGTACTTATTACAAAATAGAGTTTTCAATCAATGCTTTTTTTGCTAACTTTTCAAACAAATTAGACGACGTAGTAGCGAAATTGATGACAGCGTGCCGCAATCAAAAAGTAACGATAAAAGCACAAACAAAAGCGCGCAATGCAACTTTTTGACACACATTCTTTAAATTCAATTTGGTATCTGTTGTGCATAAAATCTAATTTTACAAAAAAAAGTTTGAATAACTATATAACGGAAGTATTGTAAGGGTACTATTGTTTAAATGTATCAATTGTTTGAATTAGAATGTTAGATAAAACAGTTCAACCCATGATAATTGAGAATATGTTTTTAATATATAACATGTGCTCTTTTACAAGACGGAACAACAAAAACATAAATACATTGGTCACGTGATTAATAGTCTTGGGTCTAGTTGAGAGTTATACAATATGATCATTTCCTTTTAACACTCCCACTTAACGATCAACTAAATTACTCATTAAGTTAGATTTGTTTTACACCAAGGGGATCTCTAAAACGTTTATATGTAGGCTTGCTTAATGGTTAAGTCATAATGTCAGCAATTATTGATTCTGTAGGACAATAATTTACGCATATTGCGTTCTTATTAACTTGCTCTCTAATAAAATGATAGGATATGTCGATGTGTTTTGTGCGTTTATGAAGTTTAGGATTCTTGCACAATTGAATAGAACCTTGATTATCTTCCTAAATGGCTGTGGGGACAGGTTTCAACAATTCAATATCATTCAGTAGTCTTCTTAGTCTGATGCACTCTTGTGAAGCTGAACTCAAAGCGATATATTCGGCTTCAGTTGTAGATCTTGACACAGATGTCTCTCTTTTACTGCACCAGCTTATCGTGCTGTTTTGAATTTGAAAAACATGCCATGATGTAGAACGTCTTGCCTCTATAGCACCGCCCCAATTGGCGTCTGCAAAACCACACAAACCAGAATCTTTTCCATTTGCAGTAAACAAAAGACCATACTCCATCGTTCCTTTGATATAACGAAACACTCTTTTTACTGCTTGCCAATGATCTTTACCTGGTCTGGACATATACTTAGATAAAGTTGCGACGGCCGCAGCTAAATCTGGACGAGTTGCAACAGTTGCATATGTTAAGCAACTTATAGCCATTTGATATTTTTGAACATCTACCGGCTTCTCATCATCAGACAATGATACAAACTTCTTTGAGCTTCTCTAAGAAAATTTTCTTCAAATGTCGCTCCCACTGGTTGAAGGTGCTGATGAAGATGAGTTCCATGCGATTCACCAATCCTCAAGAAAGACAACATCCCTGCTTCAAAAAATCTTTTGACTGAGTGCATCAAACAATTTGTAGCCTTTTGTCCCTTCGGAATATCCGATGAAGATACACTTCTTTGATTTGTCTGAAAAATTCTTTCGTTGACTTGCAGGCACGTAAGCATAAGCTAGGCATCCAAATACCCTTAGATTAGAAATATGTTCATTATGTTCATTTCCTTTTAACATCAATAACGGTAAAAAAAGCTCTAAACATGGCAAACCGCCAAACCTGGGATTAAAAAATGGAGCAAATTCAAAATATTGATTGATAAACATTTAAATAAACCTTGCCAACGCATTGTCAAAAGTCACTCGCACAGGCATGTAAATTTTTTTGTCTCCCATTCATATCACGCAAGCACAACGTATGAAGTTTATGAGAACGTCTTAAAGTACTTTATTTAAGCTAATTTGCAATATTTGCTCAAACAACAAACCACCTATATATGCTATTCACCCGTCTTGCTCCTAAGAGTATCTAACTGTACCTTGCAAAAATTGCTGACAAGTACGCTGGGGCAGCCCTTCCCCTCCCTATAGTATCTTCTAGTTTATAAATTACATTATAAAAGTGGATAATGAGTTAATCAATGAGCAATTTGATTGCTTCCCTACTAGATTGATATTAGCTCGTATCTCTCTGGTAGAAATAATAGCAAATTCCATCGCCTAAAAACGTATAATAATGGGGTTTTATGTACTGCTGAAACTCTACGACATTTTCTGAGCAATACAACCGTTATTGATACATTCAAACACATTTATAAACTTAGATATTATGCACAACACATTAAAGGATACCAGCCTGCATTGCAGACTATTTATAATGATATATAGTCTGCAATGCAGATTAAACTGATACCAAATTGAGTTAAAACATACAATAAATGTTATATGTAAATGAAGTACATTTTCAGCATTTAAATCAATCTAATAATCTCCCCAGACGAAAATAAGCAGTAGTCAAACTAACTTTGAAGAAAGTATCAAATTTCTTATTTGTGACGCGTATGTACTCGTATGTACTTGTATGATGCTCGTATGTAGTCCAATGTAACTCGTGTGTACTCGTATGTCACTTCCATGTATTCGTATGTTACTCGTATTCACTCGTGAGGGGTTTTAGTCAGTGGCGGATCTAGGGTACCTCAAGACCCTCACGCGAGGTACATAAAATTTTCAAAGAATTACGTAATAATTGAGATCATAGGTTTTAGTCCAGTTAACTGAGTTAAGTTACTATTTGCGATCAGCGTTCAGTATCTGATCGCAAAATACTCAAATCTGATTCCAGTTTTTATAGTTTGCTTTTTGAAGCAAAGCGATTTTTTTGAGGTACTTGTCAGCGGCTACTGAGGTACCCAAGCTTGAATGAGCATTTTGATTGGCTAAAACTTGCAGTTACCATGGTTTCTGAGGGACTTGAGGAAATTTTGAGGTACCAAGGAAAATTTTGAGGCATAAGGAGAATATTTTGAGGCACTAGCTGGTTTTTGACCTTGAACTTTGTTTGGAATAATGTCTATGATTGGTTACGATGTTCCATGTTTATTCTAACAGTGCATTTTATTGGTGCATTTTATCAACTCCCTCAAGTACAGCAAGCGTACCTCACTATTTTCGACTTTCGACTTTCGAGATACTAGTATCGTTAACATTTACCGCACGCAATTTCTTCTGAAAATGGATAGAGATTGTTTTCTAGAAGCCCAAGAGGCAATGAACAGCAACAACAAAGAAGCTCTGTTGCTTCTGTACAACGAGCTACGCGGGCAGTTGAATTCAAAGCCAAGATGTTCATCTTACTTGCTTCGATCAAAACTGGGCAATTCACTGTACCGGCATATTGTCGCTGAGACATATATTCCAAGCAGTATGAAATCGCAGGGAAAGATCTACACTGCAATCAGGTAACGATGTGTTGATATGGCTGTTCAATTTAGCTTTTATTCTACTTCTGTCCGATTACGATGCTTTATCTGAATTTTTAATAAGCTTGTCAATATCTGATGTTTTGTAATTCTTATATTTTGCATTACTTGCCAGTGCAGAAATCCTTCGTTTACCAATCGAAGTTTGTATTTTATTCGAATAATTAAATAAGCGAATAATAACTTATAAATTTAACTGAAATACTGGTATACTATTTATGTAAGGAAAATTAAGAATCTGAATGAATAACTTTATATGGCAATGTTACATGTGCTTAGCTGTTTTTAAATACGTAATATAACATTATTGGATGTTTAATATTTAAAGTTACGCTGTTTAGTACAACACAAAAGAAATTTAAACTAAAGAGGGATTATTTTGAACCTTGTAGATCTCAAGCATCAGGGAATTGTCTTTACAGCTCAGTATCTTTGCTGCTTGTTGGAGACAACAGCTTAGTAAGTATTTTAAGAATACTGACTTCCCTTGAGCTATACCTTCATTGTGATTTTTACAATAAACATCCTGCATTTTCTTTGGCAGTGACTGAGCACCATGACCTTAGTCTTGTTAATCTTTTGCCATTATCAGTATCGGCCTCATGTTTAGATTCCGCTTAAAGAATGAGGATTTAATTAAGCAAGAAGCTATTTTAAATTGTTATGATGGTACCTGGTCACCTTTCTTGTGTATTCTGGGCTTATCATCAGTTATTGGTAATGAAATATTTACTTATTATCCAGATTGTGGGGACATAAGACCCAAATTACTTTTGATAGACATGTAAACCCTCGCTTGGCAAATGAAGCAATTGTGAAGGATGTTGCTGTTCACATATTATTCTGCTATGAAGGCAAGGTTAAGTCTGGCGAGCTTTTGCCAAACCATTATGTTCCTCTTCTTTGCTCAACAAAAAATGAAAAACATAAGGTGTGTAACAAAAAGCGCAAGCATCCTGACAACTCTTCTCTACAAGAACACCAAGATATTAAGCGATTCTTCCAGCTGTCTTGCATTGATAAACCTTCTAACATTAATTTTAAAACTGATAAGTCTAGCCTTAGCACCTTATGTATTGACAAGTCTTCTTCTCTTGATGCAACTTGCTACAAAAAACCCCCTTCTGATAAAATAGTGTCATTTAGTGAGGCTTCTTCTCTTGTTGACTGTCATATTCCCTTAATTTTGATGTTGCAACTTTCAGAGAAAAAGAAAAGGCATGAGCGATGGGGAAATTTACAATCTCATAGTAAATGTTTATAGACCAGATGAAAATTTTGAATTCCCAAAAACGAATGGAAGATCTTTTCGTTATGATTGGTTAGAAAGGTATGAATGGTTATGTTATTCTCCATCCTTGGATGGGGTTTTGTTTGCCATGTGTCCTTTTGGTGATAATTTTAAAGATAAGGCCTCAAAATTTCCAACCTATTCTCTCAGCCACTTCGTCGTTGGACAGATGCATCCAAAATGCTAAAACGTCATGATGGCAAAGAGAGTGATGGCAAAATGAGTTTTCATGGTTTGAATGGTTTGCATGCTTCTACTTTTCCAGTTTATTCTGCCTTCAAATCTAACATGTCTGGTAAAACAAAAGGCATTAATGTTATTATTGATTCTAAGGTTAAGAAAGAAGTTGAAGGTAACCGGCTAAATTAAGTTCAATTACCGATACGGTCTTAACATGTGGTCGTTTGGGCTTAGCCTTTAGAGGTCATCGTGATGATGGGCACTATCATCCTGAAACTGGTAATTTTTCTGCAGGTGGTGTTGGGAATTTTGTTGAACTTCTTAATTTTAGAGTGTGTGCTGGGGACAAGGTGTTAGAGGACCATCTGAATTCATGTGGTAGGAATCAGACGTATATTTCTAAAACTTCCCAGAACAAGCTTATTAAATGCTGTGGTGAAGTAATAACAGATAAAATCATTTCTGACTTAAAAGCAAGCAGGTTCTACTCTGTAATTGCTGATGAGGCTCGAGACATCTCAAATACTGAACAGATGTCTCTTGTTTTGCGTTTTATCGACCAAAATATGGATATTAGGGAGGAGTTTGTTGGATTTCTTCCTTGTAAATGGGGCTTAAAAGGTGAGCAGCTTGCTAAGGTTGTTCTTGATGCTTTAGGCAACCTTGGTCTTTCTATTGCTGATTGTAGAGGACAGGGATATGATGGGGCAGGTGCTGTTGCTGGTCATATTAATGGGATGGCTGCTCATTTGCGTCGTTTGAATGATAAGGCTCTTTTTTACCCATTGCTACAGCCACAGATTAAATTTAGCGATTTGTGAGTCTATTAATATAATGGATGTAAAATCGATGCTCAATAGAGTTAAAAAAGTTTCTGATTTTTTTAATATTTCCCCTACACGACAAATACCTTTAGAAAAGAATATTGACCTTCATGGTTCTTTATCAGCCGGTAGGAAAAAGAAATTAATAGATGTGTGTCGAACTAGGTGGGTTGAGAGAATCGACGGCTTAGATACTTTCCAGCAGCTTCTTATTCCTGTTTTTAAAACGTTGAGAGAAATGAAGAAAAATGTAGATAAAGATCACAGTCTCAATGTTTCTTCGGATGCCTCTGAACTTCTTGATCTTTTGGAAAAGTTTGATTTTGTTGTTGCCCTGGTTATTTGTAGAAATGTGTTTGATTCTACAATTGGTGTTACTCAGCTTCTTCAAGGGAAGAGTATTGACATTATGGATGGTTTACATCTTATTACATCGTTGAAAACTTTTGTTGTTAATGTTAGGAATTCCATTGATAAGTATCACGATACATGGTATGAAGAGTCTCTCGCACTGGCTCGAGAATTAGATATTGATGAAGCAAAGCCAAGGACAGTGGGAAGACAGACAACACGAGCTAATGTCCCCTATAAAACTACATCTGAGTACTATAAAAGAATTTTTTCTATTCCATTTGTTGACCACCTAAACTCTGCGTTGAAAGCTCGTTTCAATACTGATAGCGTTAATGTGTACAATGGGCTTAGCATTGTACCATATAAAATGATTTCTCTTCTTAACAATGGCATGAATTGGAAAGAAAAATTCAAAGTTGTTTCCAATTTTTATCACGATGACCTACCCATTCCATTGGCCTTATACTCAGAGATTTTGCTTTGGGAAACTTATTGGGTTGATTACGAAGGAACCATTCCAGACTCAATTTCAGCAACTTTAAAAGCTTTAAAATTTGAAGGCTTTGAAAACATCAAAATTATTCTTCGTATTCTTGGAACCCTTACTATCACATCTTGCGAATGCGAACGCTCTTTCTCAGTTTTGCGCGAACTGAAAAATTATAAGCGAAGTACGATGGTTTCAGAGCGTCTAAACGGTTTGGCCATGATGAGAGTTCATCAAGAAATTGTGCCCGAAACGTCAGAAGTTATCGACAGATTTGCTATGGATAACACAAGATTAAAGTTCGTATAGTCATTATTAACAACAATCAAACATCAAACATGAAAACAAGAAACTTAAAATAATAGCATCATTAAGGCAAAGTTTCGCACCATTTAACTAAATGGCAGTCAAGTTGACTGTCCATGTCTGGCTGCTTTTTAGAAGCATGCCTAGGCATGCTGATGAGCTCTGATATTGAGCGAAACAGTCAGAATTATTGATTGTATTAAGTGCTTCTTTAATCCGAAATCCTTGTTTTGCCACTGCTTCTTTTAAGCGCCGCCCCCTGTTACCGCGCTGCTCTTACGATCAAAAAAAGTTACAGCGCTGCGGCGCTAAAACGAGCACTCATAGTAATGCTACTTTGAGGGAGGTAAACGATTGGCCTGTATCCGCCACTGTTATAAACATTTGAAATGTCTAATTTTCATGTCCGCCATTAAAATCGGCCATTTTGAATATTTGCAATCAGCAAAGTCTGTGACGTCATATTCTTAACACGGCAAGAAGCGCACATTGGAAAGTATACAAAGTAATAGATAAATAGAGCAAAAAAATGTCAAATTCATCAAGATCTAGCTCGCTCTCTGAGTCTTCGATCGAGACAAACGCATCGATTTCTTCATCGGAATTTGTGACGGCAAATTCGAACGAATCTAATTCGGAAATTTTGCCATTTGTCGATAATATTGAACCGCTTGCTTCGCCCGATGAAATTGCTGAGTACGAAGCTACAGTCGCAGAAGAACGGCGGGTTGAAGACATGCTGCAAGATCGTTTTGATGCCCGTGTTGATGTTACTTCATGGTAAGATGTCATTCTTAGTGTGTTACTTTGATCTGAATCGTCTGCCGTTAGCTATGATAACTTTATGGAAACATACAATTTGGCCAATATTAAAGGTGTGAATGTGGCCATTGTTCGTTGGATCTTGTTGTCAACCCTCAAGAGTGCCGATGCTGCATGGAAATAGAGCAATGCCGTGGTAAAATGTATCAGTTCGAAATCGATGAAAGGAAATGCAGTTTGGATCACCCTGGCTTTAACGAAGTTTGCCTGAACGAATTTGCTCTTCAAGCAGCTTCGTTAGGTTTAAAGACCAAAGGTCATCGCATGATACAGACACTTCATTTTGTATTTCCTTTAAAATCTTAGTATAAATGTATATTATATATTGAAAGTTTGCCTGGATGTATTAATGGTTCTCTCAAATTTTGAGAATTTATCATCTGCAATATCTGTAAGTATATAATAATTGCAACTTGTGCTAACCTGACACCGCTCTCTTGACGTTGTTGGTGTTTGTGATTTCTTCCAAATAGTAGGTACGGCACCAGTTTTGAGCCGTTTAGTCATACCACCCAAATGGAATAAACGCTCAAAACAATCATCCGAGAAGTGATTCGAACGAATCATAAATCGAATTTCGCGCTTCGTTTAAGTTTGCGCGCTTCGTCTGAACAAATTTAACCCAAATTCTTCTCAAAGACTCGTCGTTTGGGCTTTTATGTAATGAAATGCCTGTACTTCTATCAGACTTATTACTGCAATCTTGCACGACACAGCGTGTTGAAGACATGTTAAAAAAAATTGAGTTATACAACCTTTTAAATCTCTATTTGTATATAGTGTTATATTGTAAACAGCCGCGAGTTAAGACTATGACGTCACAAGCACCTTCTTGAAAATTCAAATATGGCGCATTTTAATGGCGGCTCTTAAAGTTCAAGTTTTATCGCAACGTAACTCGAGCAGCATGAAATACATTGCGCTAAAATTTCGCCAGAAGACATTTTTTTACATACACTATTAATCTATGAAAAAAAAAACGAGAGGCAAATTTTCGTCATAGTACCACTTTAAAAGACAAAAGAAGTGTTCGAGACGGGTGGAGTCTTTTAAAAGCTAAGTTCGAGCAGAAGATGCGCGAAGAAGAAAGGGCAAGTGGCATTGATGTCGACGAACTGTCGGAGAAAGAAAGTTTGATTGAAGAGTTGTGCTAAAAAGAGGACAGCTTCCTTGAGGTAGCATCAGTTCAAAAGCAAAAGGAAAATGCAAATGCTATTGATATAAGGATGACAGCCTTGGAACGAATGGGCGAAACAAGCAAGAGAAAATCTGATGGGCAAAACTCTGATGTTAAGCTTAAGAGAGTACGCCGCGGAAGTTGTGAATTTTTGAGAGAAAGATCAAGCAAGGAAATTGAAATCCGTCGTGCAGAACTAGAAGTAAAGCGAAATGAGCAAGAAATACAAAATCAATTGAGTACCCAAGCAGCTACACAACAAACAGAAGTCTTAAAAATGATGCAACAACAAAATCTAAAAATGATGGAGAGCCAAGCTTTACTTCTTCAGCAACAACAGCAATTGTCAACAGCATTTCTTGACATTATTCAGAGGTTCACAACCAAGTAAGATTGTGTTGTCACTTACAAGGAAAGAATTCTTAACTGTTGTGTTTTAGCAATCTGTGTAACTATGAACTTTTAATGTTTTGTTATTTGAATTATAATAACTTTCTCACTTACACTTGTCAGTACTTACATAACAAGTTACATACTTGCTAATTGTTTGTGTGTTTAATAATGAGTCATTTTGGCATTCATTAATTAGTTATAAAGTAATTCTCCAAGGTTGGAGGATCTAACTGAAAAAACTTGGATGTTATATTTCCATACATGCAAGTGAGTGAATTTCTTAACAATGCACAGACAATATATGCTTTCCCAACACTACTTAGACCTATTTTGAGGTTTTTTTTGAAGTCCATGAACCGGAATGAGTTGATCACATCTCCAAATAACCATTCCACAGACACTCTAACTGAACTCATTGGCTTGTTGAATTCTTTCATTCTGTCTGTGATTACCCCATGCCGAAAAGGAGCTTGTAGATGAATCCTCTGTGGATAAGCGGGATCCCCATATATGCATAATGGTCTCCCATCCACAGAAAAAGCATTTTGTTCCAGGTCTTGAAGGAAGTTTGAGTCAGCCAGCATACCAGCATCATGTTTTTTTCCTTCTGTAATATAGAAAGTATTTGCCTGAGTTATAGACTGTTTTTGCTTGTACAATATAGTGTTTACAATAATATTTTCATTTAAATAATATAAGCATACCAACTGGACCAAAAATATGTGCAATCAAACCATTTGGCAATGCCACACCCTGGAACTTCTAAGAGTGAACTCTTTATGCCCATTGTAAACAATTTGCTGATGTTTTGTTGGCCGTGAAATTGGTCTGACCGTTCCATCAATAAAGCCAAAGCAATTTTCATAAGGTGCTCCTTTTTCATGGATGGCATTGGCATAAACCTGTAGATATTCTGGGCTTAAAAGATCATGGTTCCATTCTGTAATTTTTTGCTTATGATAATTATAAATAAAGTCAATGATGATATTTGCAATCATACACAACTCAGGAACTGGTCGCCCAAATCTGCCAATCATGTCTGAAAATCGACAAGGGTAAGCAAGACGATTTAAAAGAATGCATAGCCCTTCCAGTCCTGAACATGTTGTCCTTTGTGGACACTTGACTATTTCAGGGATTCTAAGATTCTGTTGGAGGAAAATCAAACCGTGTTTGTTGGCTCGGAATTCTACTTTACATTCATCCTCACTTAGATTATCTAAACAAAATGGCTCATAATTTTGAATGGAAGCTCTGGGTTCCTTGATTTATATGCCTTGTACAATATGATCAATTCATATTCTGTAATGTAACCTTCTTCAAAAAGCACAAGACAAAAGTTTCGTATTGTTTTAAACGAAGACATGAAAAAGAGTTCACTTTCTACCGCCGCTTTCTATTACGAACTTTGCTTAACTGTTTTAAATATACGCGGGAACGTCATGCTCGTCCCAGTCTTCCGCGATTTCTCACGACGCCGTTGTCGGATAAAACGTTGTTGCTTAAGCTCTCTAATAGGGAGTTTTAGCAGGAGTACGACTACGACTACGAGTACGAAATTTGATCGTGTAAGAGAATGGCACGAGGAAGTTTGTTGTCGTTGTCGCTTGGTCAAAATTTTGCTTTAGTTGTAAACAACAGAACGAGCCTTTTTATTGTGTAAAACACCGACGTTTGCGAAGCAGCTACGGCTCTATTTTTCAATAATGATATCAAAGAATCGATAATACTGGTTTTACAAGAACATAAGACTCTTTAGACTGAAAAATCTTCACTATTTTAAGTTTTATGTACGATATATTTGTACTATTTTATTGTTTGTTTACCTTTCACTTTGCGTACGAAATACATGAAAGTTTTGCAGGTCATATTTTCCTTTTTAATGAACATCTCCGCTCAAAAAGGGTTCTAAATTAAAGCCTGGATTCTCGAAAATAGTACTGTAAACTAATTTCTTACAGAATGAAGACATATACCTACTTTCTTTGCTTAAAAAGACATCGTAGTCGCGACTACGAATTTTTTACAAAACATCGTACTCAGATTGATGACGGCTACGTGTGTTTGTTGCAGTGAACTCGACATTTGAATAACTGGAATGATAACCGAAGCCAAAAATTGAAGCCAAAAAAATTTTTGTCGTCATCATTCGTCATCACACGTCAGGCTCTAGTCTCTCGCGTGTTCATTTTAATTTTTTTAAATCATTTGTCCCTTGGTAATGGTAGAGTTCGGATCTTGATCAGAGCGTAAAAATAACGAAATTTTTGGAATGAAAAGGTTCACGGAAAGTGAATCAAAGTGATAAATCGAGAAGCAGGGTGAGGTGAACTTGGTCGATCTGCTTTTACGCTGCGGTTTTCCTTTAAAACATATCAAAGTCTTTAAGGATATTCAATTACTGATATCGAGATGACAACCATTTAGTATTTCAAGCACTATCAAAATCGATGAAAGATACAATCGCTCTGTAAAAGTAAAATGCGAGTTATAGACTCAACATTTTTATGAACCTGGATATTCAAGTTTCTTTTTCTTCGGAAAACAGATCTTTAAATCCATTGAAACGACAAAAAGACAAACACTGTCTGACACCGTTTGAAAATTTACCTTCCGACGAAAGAAAAATTTATGCTTGAATATTTCCTCGTCATATTTTCTTATTGTATTGCCTTTTAGCATAAAGTGTAATTTTCAGTTGGCTTTTCCTCGTTACAAGTTGTAAGTTACAACGAACTCACTGTAGTAAAGTTTTAGCTGTAAAAATAACCTTTTGCGAAGAGTTGGCCTAGTGTATTGTTTGTCGTGATGTTGTTTATATGTTTATGCTTTTGCAGTTTGTATTCAAATTTATAGTGGCCGTGTATGTTTGGCACTCAGGGGAATGAAACTGACGTACAAACCGCGTGAATATTCGACTTTGAAGGACTGGAACTGACGTACAAACCGCGCAAGAGACTAGGACTTTGGCTTCAATTTATATCTATAAAATGTATTGTAGTTATCATTCCAGATATATATATATGGAGTTCACTGGTTTGTTGTCGCAACAATGTTTTCGCGCCAAAATGACGTAAATCGTACTCGTAGTCGTACTCGTAGGCTCTGCTAAAACTCCCTAATAACCCCGAGCGAACGGCTGTGCGTAACTTTACGTTATTTGTGCACTGGAGATGCTCAAATAACCATAGCAATGGCCTTTCGAATAAGTCTCACATCAATAAGTCGAATTATTAACGAAACTTGCGAAGCTATTTGGACTGTAATGCTTAAGTAACGATATATTAAAAGTACCTACCACTGAAGGCGAGTGGAGACAAATTGCACATGATTTTGAATCAAAATGGAATTTTGATCACTGCGTAGGCGCAATAGATGAAAAGCATGAAAAGCATGTTGCTATGCAAGCCCCTAATCGATCAGGTTCAATGTTCTTCAATTATAAAAAAACGCACTCTATAGTACTGATGGCTGTGTGTGATGCAAATTACTTGTTTACAATGGTCGATATAGGTGATACAGGAAGGAACAGCGATGGTGAGGTATTCTCGAATAGTGCTCTTGGCCAGTGTATTTTAGAAAACCGATTGCATCTTCTTCCGGATGAAGAAATTGAGCAAACATCTATCAAATTTCCTTATGTATTTGTGGGTGACGAGGATTTTCCTCTGAAAGTAAACATAATGAAACCTTATCCAGCAGCAGCATTGGGATTCAAAGAACGAATTTACAACTATCGATTATCAAGGGCAAGGAGAGTAATAGAAAACTGTATTTGCATTGTTGCATCACGGTTGCATCATGGGTTTTGAAGTAATTCTGCTAAACGACTATCCGATATTGTCAATAAATCGTTTTTCTTCGAATTGTAGACTTTTTTTGTGCCGTCCATGTTGTTTTGAACTCGCGGGCAGCAATGTTCAGGCAGTTGTTCAGGCTAAACATAGCCCGCACGTCTACTTGATTTTGATTGGTTTGCAAAGATATTTTCCAAAGAATGAAAGAAAAAAGTTGAAATTTTTCAACTTTCTTTTTTCCTGGCACAGAAAAATATTTCCGACCGAAGATAGAGAAACACGGGTAGAGCGCATGCTCAGCTTAAAGAATTTTCCTTCATAAGAAAGTTTTTAATAAATGGAAATCCGCCTTAATAAATTGGCTGAGACGTCGTAGAATTAGAAATGAAAGAAACCTACCCGATGTCGAAGTTTAATTGTAGTTCTACGAATCATCAGCCGGGAGTGGAGGAGTTGTGCACCCACACGGTACCCTTTCACAACTTCTATACATGTTTAATAAACCAAATTAATGCTCTCAAAAATTAACCATGCATGGGTAGTGCCTTCTTGCACAACTTCTCCACTTCTAGATATTTAACGGCCCTATAAATTAAGTTTAAATAAGTTTTAATATCAAAAAATATCGATCTAAGTTTTTTTCAATATCAAAACCAAGATTATTGTTTTAAGAAGTCAGAAAACGTACTACATAACCTTTTTGTCAATTCTATCACTTAAATTTACAATTTATAAAGATGAATATAGATTATAGGAAAGAATATTGACGACGATGATGGGATCCGATCCCACGCGTGCAAACCACAATCGATTGGCAGTCCATGACATCAACCACTCAATCACTTCGTCACTTCGTTTGTTGGAAGTGAAATCTTTTTTTTTTCTGATACAATGTTTAAACAAAAGAAACATTAATATTGTAATAAAATAGCATTTGCATAAAAACCTTTTGTTTGAAAAAAGCAAACCTTGCATTTTTCTCTATTTATATTCTTATTGATACAAATATAAGATTGCAACTAAAAATTTGAATATATTATCTGGGAGGAAAAAACTAGCAAAGGCACTTTGTATTAGTTATCAACATAAAACTAATACTAACTCAAAATAAAATTCGTTTAGCAATGACCTGTGTTCTTTTCGTTCTTTAAAGTTAAAGCAACATTTTTAAAAGACAAACGTACCTTCACTGTAAAAGCTGATTGCTTAAAATATTCATATGATTGGTCAAAGTAACCTTAAAAATATTGGTTAAAGTGGTTAAATGCATCTGAAGTAACCAATTTTAATGGGTATTTTAACCAATCAGTTTTTACAGTGTTCCATTTCTGCTATATTTTACAAAAAATGTTGAAATAATCAGCGCTAAACTAATTTAAAGAAAACGATGTGTTATTAGACACATATGAAAACAATTTTCCATTGTATACATTAACAGTAATAGGCATACATTTCAAAATTAATAAAATATACCAAATACTTAACAACTTTTGATGCCTTTTTGTTTTCTTTATTAATGATGGACTATTATATATTCTGCGTGATGTTCTTTAAATAACTTTCTTGTCACGAATTATCAATTACGAGGATTTTAAATCTTAAATTTTTTAACAAAATTCTTTACCCAGGCCAGAGAAGAATAAGGTTCACAATTTGAAAAAATGTCACACACCCACACACAGACAGAAACAAAGAGATACTCTTTAAATCAGGCGAAACATGCTTTAATCTATATAATCAAGAAAAAGACTATGATTATTGGAACACTTACAAAGGTGCATGTAGAGAAAAAAAACACAGATAGGTGAAATGCTCTAACGACCTAATGAAGTGCTAAACCAAACTTTTTGACACTTGGATCGAATGCTTAAGTTGATAGTATTGATTTAAAGCTAGACAACATATTTTGTAAATGTTGTTTTCTTACACGATGATGACGTCATCAAGTTTGCAAAAGATCTGTTATATTTCTTAACTATTGAACTGAAACGTCATTATAAATATCTATTGCATGATGTCATTGAAAATGATGACGTCATCATGACTTCATTGGCAAAAACAATGACTTAATGGCGTCACTTATTATCTGCTTCAATTTTTGGGTTTTTTTAAGAAATGTCATTTTTATCATGGAATTTGGACTATTTGTAAACATTAAACAAATAATTTTCCACACAAATAAATAAAAAAATATTTCATTTATTTACTAATAGTTACATATAACGTAGTTGTACATTCGTAACCCACATATCATGGGTTATAATAGGTTATTTTGTTAATCTCTTAACAGTGTGAAGGTGTAGTTTCAATGTGCTCTATGAATACACTTTCTTGCTCTCGACATTAAAATATGTCATCGATGCTTTAGATATATCAGATTTGTGTTTGTTATACCTATCCAAATATACATAACTATGCGTTGTTAATAAAATTAAAAGAGGAATTTTTATTAGTTTTGAGAGCCGTTAAAATTCTCTTACAATTGAAATTGTAAAACCTAGTTCATAAATTATAAGGTATGGTTTATTAATATGTATAACTTCATTAACTTGCACTTTCTCACGATTATAACATTGCTTTTTCTAGCAAGCAATGGTTCATTACCATTAAGAGTTGCATCCAAGTAAATCTTGAATGGCTAGTAATACTTGGTATTAATGGAAAGCTAACTATGTTTTCGATAGTGATTATTGTATAACTTATTCATATTAATACTATATCCGGGCACACATAACAAACACAGAAGAGATCAGATTCAGAGAATGGGTTGTTCTACTTTTTTCTTCGAATGACCCCTGCAGAAAAGCTGTTTCATTTATTTTTTAAAAATCAGATGCGTGCAAAATAAAATTTTGATTGTTTTCTTCGTCGTGCCCTTGTTGATTCAGACTACACAAGAAAATAAGACAGTTGCCTTTAGCATGCAAAACAAATAACACATAAATGCGCTATTTACCCTTTCCATCGATCGGGATAGAAAAACATTTTTCCTATATCCTTTCTGAATATCAATAGAACGAGATATTTATATATTCAAAAGTGGTCAGCTGGTCGTGGTTGTTGATAAATGTTCTTTAAATAGGTAAAAAAAACCCAGTCACACTCTATTTTTTTAATTCATTTTATGAATATGCAGGCTATATATACACATTAAAATTAATGACTATTCTGTATCACTATAGAGTACAGCTAAACCTTCCGTCTGATTTGAACGTCCTTCAAACTCTTTATGCCTAGACGCAGCCATAGTATCCATTCTGCTGCACCATACACTTAGCAACGAGACCTTGGAGTCACCTTCAAGTATAAGAATAACGATGAATTTATAAGACAATCCCAAAATCTAATTTCATGCGCATACCAAGTTGTCCAGCTGTAGTCTATTTCTTAAAAAACCCCAACAAATATTACAAGGAAACGTAGTTATATAAAGATGCAACCGATGCAATTAATTCAGATAAATAAAATTACCGGCCATGGAGCATCATAAACGCCCAAGTAATGTAAGTGAACTCAAAAACAAAACTCATGGCAACTCAAGCGATAAATAAAGAAAGAGTTCAGAAATTAATGGATGACCTGATTCAAATGACAGTTGAGTGACCGTTCGTTGGCTTTTATTAACTGGCACCGTTTCTTCTGAGGGACCAGAGAGTGCTCTTTTATAGAATTTGTCATGTTTCTTGTCTTCAGAAAAGAATTCAGTTCTTTCTCTTTCGGTAATATCATTATAACTAGAAATAACTACACTATTACAAACTGAAACAATCTATAATCAATTTGAGAGTTGCTATAAAAGTTTTACATCTATTGTGAAGTGCAGATAAAATCGAAATTCTACACACGCGCCACCGAATTTTGAAGCAAATAAATTTAACATATATGGTCATGATATTAAAACTTATTCCTCATAAAGAAAACTCTGTCTTATACTTATATTCAGGCTAATCTTAGACTGCAACATGAGGCTCTGTTAAAGATTCCCTCTTCTTATAAACCACAGGCAAATAGCAAAATCTATCAAGTCATCTCTCAAACACAACAAACGTAAGGAAAATTTGAGCGGTGTGCTTCCAAAGGTAGTGATAAGTATAGTATTTGTATAATCAAAACAAATAACACAAATGAACAAATAACACATTTAGTTTGTTAATAATATGTACAACGTTGTTTTTGCTTGTGCACACATTCAATTCAAGACTTTAAGAATAAAACGAAATTATGAAATTTCTTGTACCCGTTGTTCCCATATAAGTTTCATTGGCTAATTTGCACCTCCCCCTCCAACCCCCATTAATTGTCCGATGTTCTCGTCTCACAGTCTTCATCTTCAACCCAAGCTGCCAACTGGTGTCAGCTAACTTACTCTTTTGCAAAATTTTAATGGAGTTACTATTACTGATAAATACTTAGTGATTTAAATGCGACCTCGCACTGATTGCTGCTTATAGCCTTAACTAGGATGAAATTAACGGCTAGACCACTTTGTACAATATTTCAGTAAACATCATAGTTTTGAATATTTACCTATCTAGTTCGAGCCATGCCTGTCTTGTTTTCGACTCGTGATCATCTAATAATTAGAAATAAATATTTTAATAATTTTGGAGTATATGACAAAGAAAAATCGAGCATAAATGGTTATTTCATTTATAAATATGGATATTATTGATTGGAATCTATATACTAATTTAAAATTGAACAGAAACAAAGGTTTGTTTTATTTTGCCCTGATATCATAATTTTAAAGTATTTGATGAATTGCAAACAACTCTTAGGAGTAAATACCGATTTTCTGTATGCATAATTATGTCGATCCTACAAGTGAAATATAGTAATATACATAGTGTTATAGTATAAGTCAAAGAATTAAGATAGTCTTTTAAAAAAAATTTTTCAATTGAGGGAAAAAGTTACAAGATGTTATGAGAAAAAAGTATGTTCAAGCACAATAAGACGACGGCCTCTGGGAAGGCTTAAGCAATTGCAAATGGTTTAAAAGCGAAAAAACAGGTCAGTGGAGGAATGGAGAGAAATGGTGTTTTCAGATGAATCAATTTTTTATGCTAGTCCCTGTAGAAGCATAATGTTTGTAAGATGAGCTGTATCGTCATGAATACCTCGTTTCTTATAGAGTATCTTTGGAAAATAACATACAGAAAATTTTATAAAGTAAGAGCTTACAGAAACTGAAACTTTCATCTTTGAAAACTGGGATGGCATTGATGCCCATTTATATATTTAGTCTGAGATTATTGATGATTTGTTGTTTTCAAGTAGTAAACGATGCTCGTGCATGATGGTGCTACCAAATACGAAAAAAAACTGTGAAGTGTTTTAAAACACAGCATTTCTGCTTACTCGTGATTATTATAAGAGGTGACCTACAACTTTTGCAAAGTACTTTATGTTGTATAAAATACAGAAAAGTACGTAACATATTTAAATTTGGCAAGATTATGTAAAATAAACAAATTCCTCAATTTATTTTCGTAGAAAAACTTGCATACAACTTAACATGCGTATTTTTATTAAGAATGTTTAATATCGTATATTATTTTTTTATCTATGCATGCAAAGTGATATTTTCTTAATTTCCCACAATCTGATTGGCAACGGTGGGGGGAAGCTTTTTGCGATGTCTTGACCGTGGTACACGAGTTATTTTTTGCAATGTATTTGCTGTGCGACTTAAAATTTTAAAATCGATTTAAAAGCAATGTAAATTGTTCAACAAGAAAGCAAATTGCACTCAGACCGTAGTTATCATAACGAGCGTAAATTTTACCATCCAGAAAAAGTGAACTTTGTAGAAAACAATCAAATTTCAGTACAAACAAGTCCCATCGGCCTTTTTGTAACACAATTTTTTCAGTATAAAAAATTAATATTCTATTTACCGTCGAGGTCGGTTTTTACTGAAAAAAATTCACTCAGCCTCAAAAGTGTCCCTTGGCCTTCGGGTGCTGGTTTAGTCCTCGCGCTTAGAATTTTTCCGAGTCAACTTTTTTTTATACACCATGTATATTTTCTCCTAACAGAGCTCCCAGACAGTAAATAACAAAAATATACATTTCGCCAAACGATTTCATAGATATTCGTTGCGGTGCGTTTGCATGAACGCAGCTCTTAAAATTAAAAGTTTGGTGAGATAAAAGAGAAATTAACGTGTAGCCTTATAAGATAAACTAGAAGAAAAAGAGAGATTAGTCACATAATTAACAGTTGATCACTATCACATAATGAATCACTATCAATTTTCTATTCGAAAAAGTCTTACAACTGACACATGGGTCTTTCTCAAATTTGCAAGGACTTTCAGAGACTTACTGTCATTGGTGGCAGTTATAGAATCATCAAGATTCTCTTCATCAATATCTACATCATTGCGCAGATAGTTAAAAAGTTTTGCGTGCATTTTGGAGGTCAATCTCGAGCAGCGGAGAAATGTTTCCAATTCCACCCAAAGTTGTCGATATTGTTCGTCACTGTAAAAATCAAATATATGTTCTGATAGAGTTATGATTACGTATAACTTCTCGAATTTGGCAACAACCAGAAAAAATGTTGGTGAACAACACCTATATGATTCCATTCGTGAGTTCAATTGCTAAGGCGCAATCAAATAACTTACCGCTTAGGTCCCTTTCCTCTGAACCCAAAAGAGGCGACAGGTAAAGGATCATTTTGATTTTCCATCATTTGCAAAGCATTGATGGCCTGAAAAATGAAAATCAAACAATTTAGAAAAGTAAAGTAAAAGACAAACTCCGTATTTTGAGATTACGAAGTATGAATCAAAACTAAACGCAAAAACACTGTGAATTTTCGACTTTATTTCTTGTAAAGTCATCCTCAGACAGAATGATATAAAGCAGTATCTTGTACAACAGTATACGATGTTGCTTGGACTTCGGTATCTTAATCCGCATGAGTGTTGAATATGTATGTGTACTGCATGAGGCTGGCTTTTTGTTTTTACTCTAATTTTCCAGTCATTTGGGTAAAAAAAGGAGTTAATTTATGTGACTTGAAACGAATCGTTGTATACCTTGTACAAGAAAAATACGTTTGACACAAACAAAAGCAATAAAATATTTGAAGAAATTTTGGGTCTTCATGGGAAGAGTGGAAGCGTCCACTCGCAGCCGTTTACAATGCTTTCGAATTCAATCTTCCTCTCGTGAAAAGGTAAACAAAGCTTTCTCATGCCAATAAAAAATAAAAGTAACTATGATAAAAGACCTTCATAAACTTCTGTAATCACTGAATCGATATATGAAGACAAAACATCGCAATAAAAACTAATAACAAGTAGCTAGCATCATATTCTCGGAAACTGTTTGCTGTTAATAAATGATTTGTGTGAATTTTTACCACTAATCATAATTACATGTTTGTAAATGTAGATCGTCCAGGTTGGTATAGTCCTGAGAAGGACTGTTTTTGTTGTTGTTCACTACTGTTAACGACAGACAAACGTATGAACAACTCAAACGAGACCCAACACCATCACTAGTACGCAAACTTAACAGCAAGATCTTCTCTATGAAAAAATCTAACATTATATCTTAACGTATTTACTATCGACTCAGATGTTCAGTACCACGACCACCCAGACTATACGGACTACCAAAACTTCACAAGCCACAAATACCCATGCGACCAATTGTATCATTCTGTGGTTCGCCTACTTACGAACTCTCAAAGTACTTGACTGACATACTGCAACCACGTACAAACAAATCAAAACACAAGCTACAATCCACTGAAACTTTCATTAAAAAACTGAGCACTATACAAATACGGGACAACTATATACTAGTGTCTTGATGTGAAATCACTGTTCACCAGTATTCCACTTAATCTGGCACTTACTTGTACAAAAACCCTCAATACAAACACCACGGACGTACTGCCATTACTGGCTACTGGAGGCTACTAGAGCTCTGCCTCACCTCGACTTACTTCCAGTACAAAGGTACAAACTACAAACAATTACATGGAACAGCAATGGGCTAACCCATTTCTGTTGTAGTTGCTGAAATTGTAATGCAATCTATAGAGGAACGGGCGCTCACGACTTACAACTATGCACTACCTTTTTGGTTCCGCTACGTAGATGACACAATCACAGCACTACATGCAGACGAGATTGATGACTTTCACATTCACATCAACAAACAGAACAGCCACATACAATTTACCAAAGATGTCGAAGAAAACGGAACTCTTCCTTTTCTCGACTGTCTGGTAAAACATGACAATCAAAAACTACGAACAACAGTTTATCGCAAGCCAACACATACCTACCGACTACTAGACCAATCATCTTACAACCCTACATCACACAAAGCCACCATAACCAGAACATTAACAAGACGTGCACAAATCATATGTGATTCACCGGACGCTCTACACAACGAAAACAACTATATCAAACGTGTTTTTGACAAAAACAACTATAACTCTGACTTTATCAAACGCCACACTTACAAACCCAACGAACCGAACGAAACGAACAACTCAGTGACAACAGCAACGATACCTTACATCAAAGGTACGTCTGAGACTATCTCGCGTATCTTACGACCATACGTTACGACAAGTACTAACGTACATAAAAGACAAAGAACAATCCAACGAACGAGAAGGTACAGTTTACAAAATAAACTGCTCCGACTGCCATGCCTCCTATATCGGGGAAACTGGCAGGAACTTAAACATAAGACTTACTGAACACAAACGAGCTACAAAGAAACAAGACAAAACTAATCACATTGCCGAACATCACCGAATCACAAAGCACAACATTGACTGGGACTCGGCAAAATGCATTACTTACAGTACTGACTATAGAACGGCTTACATTAGAAAGTTGGTATACCAACTTGGAACAAGCCCCCCTGAACAGATCACAGCAATTACCGGCACGTTACAAACGACTTATTCACAATACAAACAAACGATCAACTAAAAACATTACACTTCACACTAATTCACAATGACAATACGCAGTTGACACTCACGCATTACAACTAAAAACATCACACCTAAATCACACATCACAACTAAAAATATTTCACTTCACACTAATTCACAATGACAATACATATTTCCTGTACACACAATACAATGACGTAAGAACCAGATAACAAATACGGCTAACTTGACGTTTACTCCTCATTTGACTCTGAAGATGACTACCGCTAAGGTTGTCGAAACGTCAGTCAACAACAACAAAAACAGTCCTTCTCAGGACTATAACAAACCTGGACCATCTACATTTACAAACATGTAACACTTATATTTACGCTCTCGGGCATCGAGCACTGTTTTATACGGAGAATCATCACAATATATTAAGGATTCTCTGGATTTTTATTTTGAAATTTTTATTAAGCTTTCAACTCGGTGCTTCGAGCCTTCGTCAGAATATAAGAATATATTATTTACAAAGATTTTGTAGGCGCTTGGAGCGTCTGATTGGTTGGTTAGTAGTTGAGTTGATATTATTGGATGGTATAAGATGCGTTGTCATGGTTTCGGGTGTATAGATTGCGTTAATGAAATTCGAGTGTCTTATTTTAGTCGTTGTGTTATTAGTTTGTTGTTTTTATTTTGTCTTTAGTTGTGAATAGATGATGGGGATGTCAATATGTCTGTTTATTGTGTTGTTGTCTTTGCTGTACCATGCCTCTGAATTCTCGTGCGTGTTTTGTCTGTGCGCGTCCAAGAAGTTGTGTATTTGTCCAGTCAAATGTGTGGTTGGTATCGTAGGTATGTTCTGCTGGTAGTGATTTTGGGTCGCATCGTTTGATGGCATTCTTGTGTTCAGTGAGTCTTGTTTCAATTTTCTTGGATGTTTGTCCTATGTACTGTTTGGGGCAATCTTTACATGGTATCATGTAGATCGCGTTGGTTGTGTCAAATGTCGTTGTTTGGTCTTTATGTTTAGTGAAGTATGATTTGAGTTTGTGTGTTGGTTTATGTGCGATGTTTATTTTGAATGGTCGGAGTAGTCTTGATGTCATTTCTGATGTTCCGTTTATATATGGTAATGTCACTATTTTTACTGGTTCGTCTGTATCTTCGTTAGGTTTTTCAGTTTGTGGTTTGTTGTGTATTTTGTTTAATACTTTATTGATAAAGTTTCGTGGGTAATTGTTGTTTATGAATGTAGAGTATAAGTAGTTGCGTTCATTCTTCTTGGCTTCTCCGACCCAACGACTCCTCCACTGCCAAATTCTATGGACTACAAAAAATTCACAAAGAAAACAACCCGCTACGACCAATTGTATCTCTTCCTGGATCACCTACGTATCAATTGTATCTCTTCCTGGATCACCTACGTATGAACTATCAAAATATCTTTCTAATATTCTGCACCTACAAGTCAAATCATCACATCATACTATCAAAAATTCCACCACTTTCCTCACCAATATTAAAAATGTAAAACTAAAACCAAACGAAATCATGATATCTTATGATGTAGTGTCACTTTTCACATCCATACCACTAAACATAGCCAAACAAGTCACAAACGAACTACTTGCTAACAACAACTCGTGGAAAATCACAACCGAACTAGACCAAGACGATATCATCGACCTGCTCGAGCTCTGCCTCTCCACTGAATTCTCCTTCCAAAATTCATATTACCGACAAATCTCAGGAACACCAATGGGTTCTCCTTTATCCACCTTCCTTGCAGAAGCTGTTATAGAACACCTTGAAAAGCAGTCAGTCACCAACAACACATACATCAGACTATGAAGAAGATTTGTTGACGACATCTTTGCTATGACATCTTTTCCATCTTTATATATATATATATATAAAAGGGAGAATATTCCTGGATAAAAGAGCGCTCAATATCCTATATATTGGAAGAGCGTAAGATAAAATGAAATAAAATCGACAAGTTTTTGTTGTCGCTACTCAAAGTTTCACGCTGTAGGGCGATCTTCAGGCAACTGACAGATTATTTATTAAAGTAAATGGTTTGAACCCGGGAATATCGTTACATGTTTGTAAATGTAGATCGTCCAGGTTGGTATAGTCCTGAGAAGGACTGTTTTGTTTTTGTTGACTGACGTTTCGACAACCTTAGCGGTAGTCATCTTCAGAGTCAAATGAGGAGTAAACGTCAGGTTAGCCGTATCTGGTTCTTACGTCATGGTTGAACCAGAGTTGTTGACGTATGCGTCTGACGTTGCTTGCAAAACGTATGTAGTTGTTAGCAAGTTGTTCGCTCTTTCGTCCAAATGATCGCAATAAAGTAAATGGTTTGAGCCCGGGAGTATCGTTACATGTTTGTAAATGTATATCGTCCAGGTTGGTATAGTCCTGAGAAGGACTGTTTTTGTTGTTGTTGACGTTTCGACAACCTTAGCGGTAGTCATCTTCAGAGATTATTTATTATTCGCTGACTATATAAAATTGATTAAAAGGTGTTATGTTACATGACGACATGCACTAAAGATGTCGGAACGTTTATTTAAAATGTTCTTTTTACGTCCTTTTAGGATAAGTAGTCTTTCTTCAAAGCAAAGACGGCAGGTTTTTTGGTTTTTGTTCGTTGGTGGAAGTTGTTTGACGAAGTCCCATTCAATGTTGTAGTTTCGTTTGTTTTCTTTCAGTGTCCACGTGTATTTAGAAAGTTCTGTCTCATTGCGTTATTTAATGTTCGTAATTGATTTAATGTGGCTTCGGTAACGTGTTTTAAAAGCGCATGCAGTAACACCTATATATGTTTTTGTTTCGTTGTTGTCAGTCGTTGTCACGTCGGCTTTGTAAATGACCTTGGGTTTCAGGCAATTTCCATTTGTCGGGCATAGGTCTTTCTGTCTGCAGTTACAGTTCTTTGGGGGTTGTTCTTGTTCTGAGTAGATTCTGGGTTAAGTCTTTTTAAAATAGTCTTGTTGTGACTTGTGGGCGACGTTAATATTAAATGGTCGAAGAAGTCTGGCAGTCATTTCTAATATTAACGTCGCCCACAAACCTACACAAAAACTCAAATCATGTTTCACCAAACATAAAGACAAAACAACAATTCATGATACAACTGACGCGATCTACATGATACCATGTAAAGACTGCTCAAAACAATACATAGGACAAACATCAAAGAAAATCGAAACAAGACTCACAGAACACAAAAACGCCATAAAACGACGAGATCCGAACTCACTCCTGGCAGAACATACCCACGGAAACAACCACACATTCGACTGGACAGAAACTAAAGTACTCGGACGCGCACAGACTAAACACGCACGCGAATTTAAAGAAGCTTGGTACAGTAAAGACAACGACACAATAAACAGACATACCGACATACCCATCATATATTTACAACTAAAGAAAAGGGACAAAAAATTACAAACAACACCAAAACTACAACCTTACACTCTAATAATATTAACACCGATCATATTAACCATACACAAAAACCCATGGCAACACATTCCACCCCATCCAATCACATTAATCTACTCGTTAATCCAATTAGACGCTCTAAGCCTCTACAACCTAAAAGCACATGTAAATAGTAATTTCCTCATTCTGATGAAGGCTTGAAGCAACGAGTCAAAAGCTCAATAAAATAATTTTTAAAACAATCCGGAGAAACTTTCATTTTTTATGTATTAAATGCCTGGATTACCAATTTTCAAACTTATATATATATATTTGTCTTAAACTTCCTTTAAATAGATCAAACTGCCATTCAATGGAAATAATTTATTCATTCTATACTGTATTATATTTTCATAACACTATCATTCGCACTGAAGATGGCATTGGCATTGTGTTAATGTCGAAACATGTTTGCTTTTAAAAAAATCGTCGTCGTAAAATGTTTTTTAATATACACAAGTAATAAAAATGTCCAAGAAAACATGCACACCAGAAGACAATACCTTTGTACATTCGTTGAAGTCTTCATCAGTAAGATGTTCTTTCAAACTTACTGCTTTCAGAGGTTCTAAATGTTGCTAAACGAAACGATATAAAAAAATGTTGCACAGTAACAATGCTAGATCTAGCAAATCCATATAATGTTACAAATATAACTTGGTTGAATCTGATAATAATTTCACATTCAATGATTAGAGAATGTGCACAGGTTAGCAAATTGGTCGACTATTGTCTCCACGATTTTCCGGAAAGTAAATTAAAATATGAAATGATTTGCCGTTTATATTACTAAGTTTAACTTCTCCGTTGTCTTTAATTGCTTGTGACAGGAATTTTTTCATTGTCTCGAATAAAGCATTTCTTAAAACTATATACTTTCTTTGAAACATTGATATTTCCAAGATTATTTTTTCAACTATTAAAGTAACCCCATGAGCAAAAAATTTCATTTGCAATATCAAAACTATATGTGTACTGACAAACGTATCACTGAAAAATTTTTTCAGTTTAATCAAATCGTCTTCTTCTTATGGCGTTAAAAAGGTTTCCTTTCGGTGGATCTTGCCTGTTGTGGCAGAAAGTCTGCGTAATTTCAAATTCTGATGTCATCCAAGGTAGTTGGTTTATATATATCTTGTATTAAGGAGTGCATCGCATGACATCACAAAAGTAAATGGTTTCAAACGACGGACAAGGTCTATTAGAAGGAGAATTTTTGCCAACTTTAAACAGACATAAAAATGAAACGATTTAACGAACTCAAAACGTTTTATCACCGATAGGCTGGAAATCCCACCTAGCCTAAATTTAACGTCGCAATCAAAACTTTTGCTGAAAGGGCCACTTTAAATATTTTGTTTGCGTAACTTTCATTATTGTTATATACTAATTTTGATCTATAAAGATAAGGATTGTCAACAAGATGTAAAGCAATTTATTCAATTTTCGGCGACAACAAATGCAAGTTGAGGTACGTGAATTACAAAATTATTGACCATAAATTTTCTTGTAATATCACAAAATACAGTTACAATTATAGTTCTTAGAGATCTTTTACTGAAGACAATGAAAAATTATTGTTATAGGAGATTCAAAAAATTCAATTTTACGACAGGAACGCTCGATAGACACAATGCAGACAATATATTAATAAAAAATATGCTACCATTAAGAAAACACTTGACATCCTAGTTGTTCATTAGGATGTCGTTATTACTAACTTTGCAAAATTAAAAAGGATATTCAACATGTTTTTTAATAACTTACAGCCATCAAATTAAAAAGCACTGTCTCGTTTATCACCATAGGCCACATACGAGTAGAACGTTCCAGTCTTGACACAGCTAAAACATAATTTGTAAGCAGACATTATAAAATGAGAGAAAAAACAACTGATTAGATCAAAATAAAAATACCAAAGTCAAACATTAGAACAACAAGCAAAATAGGCGCACGTATATACCTTTTTGGAAAGGTACAATTCCTTTCTGTTTTGTTCCGATTAATGGCGCAAGTCTATTATTTTTCATAAACTCGCCAAAGTCCTAAAATAATCAGGCATACTGTCAAAGGCATGTAAGAGGAACACCGAATTATAGACTTGGAATTTCTATGCTACTGTAGCTCGTTCCTCAATGATAGGGGCGTAGGAAAGAACATTAATGTGGGGAGGATATTTTAGAATCTAAAACATATTGCTAAGAGTACCAATCTACACATATTGCCAAGTAAAAGCCTTTAAATTATAGCTAGACCCGTCGCCCAATTGTGCATGTAATAAAATAATGAAATAAAAGAATTGCGTAATTTTTTGAAAGCCTACGCAGCTACATGGTAGATACATATGTTTTGTAGGCAAAATAGACTACTAGTAAGCATTTTCATAGAAAATGGGGCAGTCAAAACGCAAAGGGTCACGACTGTCATTTGAAAATATAATATGTAAAAAATAGCTATTTTTTTGGGAGGGGGGGCAAAAGAATTTTGCCCGGGGCATGACCCCAGGCCCACCGTTTGGCTACGTTAGTTTCCACCCCCCCAACTGCATCTGACACCCTTGCTCAATGATAACTAGGGATCCAATAGTGCAAAGTTTCAAAAGACAAATGTAGTTCAACATTTCAAATAAAAATCGTTGCGATGAATTATGTCTAACCATGCCGTTTTAAGGACTGCAGAACTGAAATTAATTTTCAAAAGTGCTTGACTGAATTCATTTTAGAAGAGCATGCTCCAGACTGAACAGTCTGTTTATGGCACAATCCTTTGTACCAGTATTTTTAATTGCAATTACAAATTGTACATGTTTCCATGAAGTCTTTATTTCCTTTATAGCTTTCATAACAAGGTTTGATATGTGACGTAGTACTGACTGAGCAATAAAAAAGTAAAAATGTTTGAGAATTTTTGACATTCTAATGAATCTGTTTCGGTTGAGTATGATGCAGGATCATTGCCACCCTTTTCATAATACTTTAGAAGTCCTATCTTTCTTTAATTATAAATTAGATACATTGTTGATGACTGACAATCTTAAGGTTACAATTTCTGGCAGAATGTTTTTGTTTGTTGGTTTTGAGAGATATTGTACAGGAATATAAAGGTAAGGCTTTTCATTTGCTAGTTATTTATTGAAACACGTGTTATAAACAAGCAATGAACTATACTGCGCAGCGATGTAGCAATAATAAAAGTATAAAGTCATTTCTGTAATTATACTTTTAACCCATGTTCGCATTTTAATTATTAACTCCAATTTTGGCAATCGCAATATTGTATTTCCAGTTTCAAAATTACATAAATTTATGTTTGTTGATCGTTTTGTAGCAAAACTTGTGCCTTGGTTCAAAGTTAAAACACAGTGATGGAAAACCGCAAGAGACGCATTGTTTTGCATTGCTTGTTTACACATGTTTCAAGTAGCTATATACAAATGAGTAGACAATCGCAAAATCCATCGCAGTGCTCGTACCATTTCGTAATCGTCGTTCAAGCTAACTTGTGTCCGCTCACTGACACTCGCACGACTTTGAATGGTGAGCAGGCCTAATGCTGGGTATTTATTGTGCAAAAATCGCTTCCTTTTAACAAGACTACGAGATATCACTAAAACAGAAATTCGGTAGTCTTTGTCGATGACACGGGTTTGAAATTTCACTTGTACATAGTGCTTGGCTGGCAACACTTTTAACTATGTCAACACTGGTAGCCAGTGGCGTGGTGGCAGGGGGGGCCAGGGGGGCCAGGGCCCCCCTAGCTGTTGATTTTGGGGGGCGCTGAATTGAATACGAGTCATCAAGTTTTAAAAATGGGCTATAAAAAATTAAAAACGCATTTGAAACAGAACAGTTATTTTCGCAGTTATATATTCAGTGAATGAAGTTAATTGAGGGAATTAGGGAAGAAAGGAAGTAGACAGACCAAAATGAAACCTTGTAAGGGGGTCGATTAAAGAATAAGATATTGACGAGCATTCTATAATTAGATGTTTCGTTTGTGGCCACAACGCCTGCATGATTTGTCACGATGACTGTAGACAACATACATGCAGGGGAGAAACTAGAATGCTAATTGGGGGGGGGGGTGAATATTCATATATTCAGCTTTGCCCTGTTGATTTCTATTGAATTTAACATCGCCAACAAAAGAAATCAACAGCAAGGCAGAGCTGAATATTTGAATATTTACACCACCCCCTAATTAGACTTCTAGTTTCGCCTATGCATACACGGCCAAATTGTCCTCTTAAGGGGGCAACAAGGCCTTAAATGTGTAATTTTTTGCCTATCTTAATCAATGTTTTTTGCTTCCCTCACATACAGTAATCGTTACTCGCCTTGTATCTTATTATTAATCCAAGCGTAATAATATATTTTTAAAAATGACAGTAGTGCAGTCATCGGTAAATTGCTATCATAATGCATAGTCTAACATGAAGTAGCCCTTAATGATACCGCAGCATGTACTGCATTGTTTGTATTGTGTTATTTACATTTTCATCGTTACGACGATTCATTTGTCATTTTCAGTAGTAAAGCAAGCTATTATACGGTAAAACATTTTTATATCACTTAAAGATTTATCCGCAGTTATCGAATGTGCATAACAGCATATATTTAATTGAAATTAAGATATTTTTTAAACAACAACATTTGAAGACCAATTAAATTAATGTCTCAAAATGCAAAACTATCATTTTGAGCAGATGTAATACAGATGTAATTCACACAACAAACATTTCATTTGATAATTCCATTTGTGTTGGGAAGCGTATTTTAATATTATTTAATGTACATCATGGATCATGGTGCAATGCTAAAGACTAACTGCAATGTCTAATTCTTTCAACACCACGAAGAGAAAAAAGTCGGGTGCTGAGTATCGAAGATTAAAGAAAGCTAGACGAGAAGAATTTTCAAAACTTGGGGGGGTTTCGCTTGATTACTTTAAACCTATACAACATGACCCACCATGCATTTTGTCACAAACAACAGAGGAGTTAGAATTAAAACTCAGGGAAACGCCAAACATCAGTGAAGACCTTAAACAAGTGCATGCGCAAGAAACGTCTGAGTCGACAGATGTAAACGATCAAGATGAGTATACTTTCAAATCAATCAAAAGCAATGATCCTGTTGGTGAATGCCCTGATATTGACAGCTTTGTCAATTCAAATGAACGTAAGGAAGGCGAAGGCATCTCAGAATCTGCTGAAAATATATTGAATCGAAATATTTCTATTGATACGAAAGAAAACACGTTTGACCCTGGGACAGTTGTTGATCTTAATCTCAGCATTAGCGAAAAAAGGCGTTTACTTAAAATGAATCCGTGCCAACCATCCCAGTTTATTTTGAAACAAAGGAGGGTAGTACAAGGAGATCACACACTCGCTATTGCTCCCAGCAGGTATTTTTCCACGATGATGGAACAAGACGAAAATGGATTTCCTATTCACTAAGTGAAGACAGCTTGTTTTGCATACCATGCATTCTGTTTACAGATGTAACGTCTAGGGGGGAAAATATTCGGTCAAATCAAGGAAAAGCTTTTGCAAACATTGGTTTCTCCAAATGGAAAAAGCAGTATATTAGAATTCTGGAGCATGAAAAATGCAATTCTCATCTAAACGCAAAAGTTGCAGAAGCTCTTTTCCTTCAAGAAAACTCAATATCGGATCAGTTTCATCACCAGGGGAAAATCGAGTCTGAAAGACGTAAAAAGAAAGTCGTTTTAAACAGTTTTGAAACGTGTGATAGATGTTATTATGTTTCTTGGAAGACAAGGGCTTTCCTTTAGGGGTCACTGTGAATCACTGACAAATTTCTATGTTAATACAGGAAACTTTTTGGAAACGCTTAAATTATTGTCAGAGTACGATCAACCAATCAATGAGCATCTTGAGAAAGTTCGTGATCACCAAGTGAAGCAATCGACAAAGGATGGTGGTAAAACTGATGAAAAAGGAATCAAAGGACGTGGCTCATGGCTAACGTTTTTGAGCAACGATATTCAAAATAAGTTAATCAATATCATTGGTAAAGAAATACCTTCAGTAATTGTACAAAAAATAGGCAACTGCAAAGCATGGGCATTGATTGCTGATACAACACCCGATATAACTCATACAGAGCAATTGAGTATATGCGTAAGGCTTGTTAATGAAACTGGTGAGTGTTCTGAACACGTTTTGTCATGCCAAAAAGCAATTGGAACAACTGCACATGACCTATACACTGCTATTACAACAATATTACAATTGCATGGAGTTTCATTTGAAAAACTTGTTGCCCAAACGTATGACGGAGCATCCACTATGAGCGGATGTTATAATGGTTTGCAGGCAATTATAAAAGAGAAAATCGGAAACCACATCATCTTTGTTCACTGCTATGCGCATACGCTAAATCTCGTCTTATCCGATTCAGCTTGTGTTGTTATTGGTGTCATTACTCGTTTTGACTCTCTCGAAAAACTGCACGTTCTCTTTAATAATTCTCATAAAGTACACGAATTGTTTCAATGGGTTCAAAAGAATGAAAACCTCAAAATTTTTTCGATTAAACGTCTTAGAAAAAGTTCGATGGAATGCAAGAGAATTTTGTCTAAACGTATTTCTTTTGAGGTTCGAGTGCATCATGCGAGTGCTCCAAAAAGTAGCTGAGGAAAGATCGTTCACTGAAAGTCAGCGAGCAACAGCAAATGGATTGCAAGCAGCTTTTCAGACAAAGCAATTTGTTGCGACTGCCTGTCTTTTCCAAGAAATTTTTGGAATCACTGGACCTTTAAGTCGGTATCTACAGAGCGTAAATGCTGACTTTGGAAAAGCAATGGATATGGTTGATAGCTCAATTTCTAGAATTCAAATCATACGTGACAAACCAGAAAAAATTATTGAAATGTCCGATTCTTTTGCGTTAGATGTCGAATGGAGGTCTACACGACCTCGTCGTCGGCGACCAATGGACGGAGAACAAGCCAGAGATGATTTGGCAGATTCACCAAAAGCACAATGGAGGCGAGACACATTTTTTAAAGCGCTAGATTCCATTCAATCTTCAATGAAGAATCGTTTTGAAAAGAATCAACCACTAATGAAATCATTTGCTTTATTCGCACCCAATCAATTTGACGAGCTCTCGAGCAAGTACAAGACATCTCACGATCTTCAATCTGCAGTGAAAGCCTTTTGTGATGTGTATAAAATAGATTCCCAAAGATGCGCTACTGAACTGTTAAGCTTTGCAGAAACATTTAAAAAATTTCACTGTTCTCAGTTTACAACTCAAAGTGACCATGATCATAATGAGCAGAACTTTGAAACTATTGATGATGGTGATGGTGATGATGATGAAAATCATTTTGATACTGACATAAGTAAGCATTCGAATAATGCTTTAATTACCGAGAAGGCTAAAACTCCGTGATTCTTAGATGCCTTGAAGCTGCTTTGTTTTCCAAAGTACCATTTAGTCGACGCATACCCAACATTATGCAAAGTTTATTCAATTGCAGTGGCCATACCCATTAGCTCAGCAACTGCTGAACGTTCTTTTTCTTCTCTGAAGAGAGTAAAAACGAGGATTCGATCTACGATGGTACAGGAACGCCTGGAATCATTGCTTTTAATGGAAGTTGAAAGGGAAACTCTCCTTTCTATCGACAAAGATAGAATCATAACTTTACTTGCGAAAACCTCCCCAACGCTTGCAAAGGCATTAATATAAATATATTTTTCTATGAAAAACAAATAACGTAACAGACATGTAATTGCTTGATGATACTTGGTTTTTAAGTTACTTTCCTTTTTATGAAGATTCATGTTTGTGTTTTATAAAATAAAAATAACTAAAATACTTGAAAATAGCTATAAGAAAAGGTGAAAGGGGCGCAAAATTTGTGTTGGCCACCGCAGTAAAAACTATGCCACCACGCCACTGCTGGTAGCTACAACGGCAAATACGCTGATGCTAATATTCTCGACATTATTACAAATTGTAACTTACAAAATTTTCAGAAGGTAAATTCGTTTGTATTTTTCAATGGCTTTTGTAAGTGAATAGTAAGCATACACAGGCACTCGATGATTATCGCCATTTCGTGCTATTATTATCTACAGCGCAATATGGCGCATTCGCATTTCGACAATTTCTTTCGAAAAATAGAGCCGCTGGGGGGTAAAACGGAGGGCGAGACGTTAACACGTTAACTTGATCTTGAAGTATTGAAAAAATCGTTTGTTTATCTTGCGAACAGTCAAATAAATGTCTTAGTTAATATGAGTTGCGAACGAGAATTTACTTCTTCATAATCTGTAAGGTATTGGTAAGACACCACTAAATAACAGACTAACGTAAAATGAACATTGTTGTAGACACCCCCGTAAAGTTTACACAATGTATGACTCTTTTGAATTTTTGCCGCTCATCCCGATAATGCAAAGTTTCCATGGAAACTTTTCACTAAAAAAGAGCATACCCACGGAATTAGCAAAAAAAAACCCAGCAGAAATAGTCTTACATTAATCCTATAATCAGTAACTCTTCCTCCACATCCTTCACTGATAGATGGCGGGTCTTCCAAAGGAGTTCTGCTGTTGCCAAGGCAGTGAATGAACAAGTCTCCTAAAAAATACTTCTTCAATTTTCGACGTTATCATTAAAGCTGGTTTACTTTAAGTTCAAATTTTGACAATTTAAAAACTGATCAATACAACTGCACTAAATGGTGACTTGGGAAAAAATTCATGACTAGACACGACAATTTTCAATCCTTTATGCATTACTATCATGTACTTTTTTGTAAGAAAGGAAAAAAATGAATAATGCGGACAAAAAAAAATCAAGCCAAAAACAGGAAACATTACGAAACAATTTGAAAACGCCTGATTTTAGATGGATTATGGAAAACCAAAGATCATAAGAGAAACATAAATGATACAAAAGCTGTAAATTTACTGATCGTAAAAGTGGATTTAACAATCTTGAACAGTAGATGACCTAAACTATAATTCCTGAAAAAAACACACACACACACTAAAGTCTATGGATTATGGATGTGATACTCTTGTATCAACAGTTCATTAGATATAGCCATTATGTGCGCATTATATTTTCAGTTGTAAGTTGTTTCTTCTCTACAATACAAAAATGTCCAATGTAATATCAAGCTTTAGCAACATTGTCAGAAAATTTTAAGGACTAAAGATCCTTACGTCTAATCTCATTGTCGACCATTTGGGTGAACACTATAATAAGCTCAAAAAATATTAACAGCATACACATACCGGCATGACTTGTCAAAATATGAGATATCAGTTTGCTTCCAGACTTCTTAGGCTGCTCGAGCAGCACATTCTTTCCTAAAAACCAAAGTCAAAATGTTTCTGTTAAATGCCAATCAGATTCTTCACTACTATTCACGACAACGTTCTTTGCAGGGAAGACGATTAATAGACTCTCATTATTGCAAAAACTATTTTCCTGCACAAAAAAATCGTACAAATGTCTCGAAATACTCGTATAGAGTAAATGCCAGTAATGTATATTCACATCTCGACCAAAGACGAAGAACTAAGACATTTATGTTAAATAGTAATATATTATCAGATCGTGAATATCGTACAAACCTTGAAGTAAAAATGAAACCAGACAAGCAGCTGGGCGGCTATTGACCTAAACGTTTTAATGCTAAAGTGAAGTAATTTGATGAAACAACAAACGACAATGACTGGTAAAAAAACTGTTCCAATTTGCACGTGTCATCACAAGAATTTCTTTGATCTGCATACCTCAGCAACTGTAAACCTGAATACTCCAATACAATGTTGAGGTTCTAGAAAATACAATCACGGTTGAACAGAATATGTCTACAAACATTATAGCAAGTAAATGAACTTACAACTAAATCAACGCATTCTAAGTTATAAGCGCATGTCATTCTATAGACAGATAAGTACGTATAAATCTTTAGAATACCATGTTCTGTTACATAGACACCAATAAATGTCAAAAAAAACTTTCATTGAAAAATAAAGAAAAAAAGTAGCGGAAAAAGAAGTTATTCCGATCAGGGAGTGTACTCTCTAACAATTTTAAAACTGCTCGAGCATGCACAAAATTTACAATCGTAATGCACATTCTGTGCCGGTAATTTCCAAAGAATGTTTTAAAATTGCATGACTAAACTTGCGAGTTGGTTTCGCTACTATGCATAGCACGACTAACCAAGTGTGCTACCAACGTTACTAAACAAAAAACTTCTAGTTACGGTCCATTTTTTTCCAATGTACCGTACAACAATCACATCATCAGCACTCAATATTAAAAATCTCTACATAATATATTTATATCACATGAACTCTTAATAATTAAATATACCTGCATTACTAACAGCTTTAGGAGTCGTACACCAACGCAATGTGACGGTATCATTTAGAATTTCTTGCCGTTGTGACAATTCACATGGTCCTAAGATGTCTTTGCAGTATATGTCTTGAAAAAATGGTTAGCATGCTCATTTCGGTAGTAATGTATTTGAAATGTTAATACGACATTTAAAATAGACGACAAATTTCTTTATAGCATACATGTTTCGGCATCCTTTATGCCATCTTCAGTGCGAAGTGAATAAATATAGGAAGTTTACATGATAAGTTTTACATGTTTCTTATATTTATTCACTTCGCACTGAAGATGGCATAAGTATGCCGAAACATGTTTGCTATAAAGAAATTTGTCGTCTATTTTAAATGTCTTATAACCATTGTGCTCTTACGAAATTATGAAATATTAATACTGCAAACAAGGGTCGATATTTAACACGGAAAATCTATTCAGGTTCTTCTGGAATCATATTCGCAAATTATAGTTTCGTAAATCAAATTGAAACAAGAAAATCATAAGATCTTTTCTTATTGTGTCGTTTTCGTTGGAATGAAGGACAAAAGTGATAAAATTTTCCAAACAAAGCACATTGTTAATATAAAGGATACTAGGCATGACGTTCAGGACATTCGGGTACATTAACTAAAAGACGCGATCAGAACGTATGTCCTTGTTATTGCACTTTATTGCAAAAGTTACATTATCACTTCAGTGAAGTACATCATACAATATATTAATACATATCATTGCCAACCGCCACATTCTTTTGTATAATGCTGTCATAGACAATGTTTTTTCTCGAATAAAAACGTCGGGTTGCATGTCGTAAAATTCATTTCACAGGATAATACTTACTGAACATATCTAATTCATAATGAACATTAGAACTGTGATACAATTCAACGTCGTAATTCATTGGACCTCCAAGATGTTGCTCTTCCTAAAAATAATTAATGGCAACAATTTCTTTCAAAAACCCTATTTAGCGTTTCTATGCTTGAAATTTAGCTGTTTCTCTTAATCAAAAAGAATGCTTTTCCATTTTGAGGAAAAAAAGTTGGCAGTCACCTAAAAACTCAACAAACAGTGGTCGTTTCCCATAAAAGATAATTATCCACCACTTTCAAGGATAGTAGAATGATTTAGTAAACCGTCAAATTTTCGCGAGGGATCTGGGTCTAGGACGCCACCACGTCTGTCGTAAAGTATTTGTGATTTAGCAGACCTTTCTTACGACTTTGTCAAAGAATAGTATTAAACATGTTTCATACATTTCGGCATTTTCCTGCTGGCCAGTTTTTTCTATTTTTTTGAACTAATTTTTTGATATTAAAAACATACTGCAGTATATTTATTTCAATAAAAAATATAAATAAAAGAAAAATCATTGACATAAGGCTTTGTGACTAAAATTATTTTGACTCCGGAAAACCCCCGAAATTAGAGTAGGACCCGCGTTGTTTATTTGTTTGTTTTTTAAGCTTTAGGAAACAAAACATTTGCAGTTTTTACTTAAATGAAAAATAATAATAATAATGAAAATAAATAAATGAAAATATCAAGGATAATTCCTTATTTTTGTCCAAAAATTGAGTTTATTTCAGTCGTAGTCGATAAGACGTCAAGTTGTATGTTTTCACGTCGTAGTCGTCAACACTACTGCCGTCGTAGATTGAACAAGAAGTAAAAGACGCATACCACGCCATTTTCACGACGTCTTAGACGAAACGCTGTATTTGCAAAATCACTCTAATAACATCGAGCGTTTGTAGGAAAATTGATGCCATTATAACAATATAAATACAATTTTATGTTCTTTGATAGGGGTATAGTATTCTGTAATTCCTCCTTAAAGGGGTAGGGGGAGGAGAAAAGTCAAAAGAATCTAACTCCCGAGAAGAAAGTCCAAAAAGAGTAAAGGATATGAAAGGTGTAGTCTTTTCAAGGATTGCAAAAGAAAATAACTAAGTTCTAAGTTTTACAATTTTATTAAATCTTGGAAGAATATATTTACCCTATAATATGATATTTCGGAAGAATCAAAATAAAAAAGATGGGAGAGGATAGGATAGGAGAGGACAGGATAGGATAGAAGAGGACAGGAGAGAAAATCATTACAGGTTACTAATAAAAATAATTTCCAGTGTTTACTATTTTTGATGATTGTAAAATTGTAATTTAGATAGTATCGTATAGATTATGAAGTAAAGTTATTTTTAACCACGCCGAGATCATAATTTTTTACACGAAATATACTTAAAGGGGAAGTCTTGTAATGCAGCTTTGGATAGTAATATTTTCAAATGAAGCCACTTATTCATTTTTATCAACACATTCTAAAATTTGGTGGCAGCATATACATTCTTACCTATCTATGATTTAGCAATTGCTATTGAGACGTCTAAGTATTATATTATCAAATTTTGGCTAGGGTGAAAAGCGACTCTTACTGTTTAAACCATATTTTACAGTTTGTAATGTTACTTTAGAATGGGCCAAATTCTACAAATAATAAATAAAATATTGACTCATTAGAAAGAGCTTCAAAAAGTACAAGTATTTTTCTCGAGTCTGCCATCGGTACTTTTAAATCCTGAGTGCGATGACTCACTATCGAAGGCAATGCCATCTTCCTCAGAATCTGTTTCTTCTACTGGCTCAAAAGCCTACGGTTGAATCAATGCAGCGTCGTGTTATAATATTATTTCTTCTTTGCTTTCCTCTTTACTAGAAATTAATTAGCTATCGGTTCGAAGCTCGTTAAAATAACCTATATTTTGCGGGTCTGGTTGATAGTGTAAAGTAAATAAATACCTTTATTTGTTACTCAACCGCGCAGTTCCCAAACCGCTGCCGATTGCGAGTTTGCTCGAATGTACAAATGATTGCAAACGAAACAGGCAAAATTTCGTATTTCTTCTCTAAATATCTCGGCATCTATTGGTTTTTCAGTTTTCAGACTTTGTAAGGAAAGTAAAAATTACTTTTTCTATCATTTGAGGACAAGTTGTCGGAAATAAAGACTTCCCCTTAAAAAAAAAGCAGCAATGATGCAACAACTGACTGGCTGATATTTCTCACTTAAAAAGTTCAACCGGGTATTCATTTTATTTTATGTATAGCCTTTATTGTGAAAACGCCATTTTTCTTCATATTACAAGATAAAGTATAAACTTAACACAAAATACACATACCTTCATTGGGATACCAGTGACAACTGTAGTCTTAAGGTTAAAATGTCTTTGAACTAATGAAGTCATTTTCGATATCAGTTGGGAAGCATTGACTATCTGCACAGTGATGCATATGTTCTGAATTGGCTGCAACAGTATAAGATGTTTCAATTAGTATTAATGAAATTTGATTGATTGTTACTCATTTAAAGAACGAGTCTCACGGTAATGCTTCGCGCGCTTGTGTTTACTTCTGTTAACAAATACCGATATCAAATATAGAGTTGCATAAATAATTGACTGCAATATTGCAAAAAATCAGGGGCCGTTTGTATAAAGCTCTTAACTACATTTTAACTACACTTTTTGCAGATAAAAAGTAGTTAAATTTAACCACGCTGTAAGTCGGTAGTAGTATAGTACATGGGGGTTCGAGAGCACAAAAAGTGCTCTCATATCCCCCATGTACTATACTACTTTTAACCTTGGGTAAAAACTATCTTTAACAAACAATTGTTTTCAAAGGGGGTAAAAATCTCGAGGTTTCAATCTGTCGTTTAAAAATATGGAATCTATATGTTTTAAAAACTATCTTTAGAAATAAATGTTAAGAAAGCATCAGTTCGGAGACGATCCGGCATCGCAGAGCATGATGTGAATATTACGAAGTAATATTTACTCCATGCTCGAGAAGGGGGATGGGATCGTCGAGAATTCATGCGAGCCTGGTGGGTAAAAAATTCTAGCTTTAGCTAGAATTTTCGGCTCGCCCCCGTTTTGTCCGAAGGACGACAGAGGATTAATATATGCTCTTTTACAATCTATCGTTTAAAAATATGGAATCTATATGTTTTTGAAATATATAGGTGCGTTTAAATTTTACAAACAGTCTTTACAAACAAATGTTAATAAAGCATTAATTCGGAGGGGGATCGGCAGCGCAAATTTTAGCGTAGCTAAAATTGAGCAGGGGAATGGATCCCCCGAGAATTCTGGAACCCAGGCGGGGAAAATTTTTCACGAAGTGAAAAATTCGGGGTTCCCCCGTAGATTCGTTGAATATTCGAAGAATATTCGAGAATAACAGAGGCTTAAAAAATGCTCTTCAAAAAACCGTCTTTAATAATCAAGTGTTAATAATCAAGTGTTATTAAAATATCAGTATCAGCGATAGCTGGTTTTTTAGCGGGGGCGCGTGTCTTAGTGCATGTTTTTAACAATGGTTGTTTAATGTAACCAGCACATTTCATCAGCGCATGTATAATAATACAATGTTTTACAAATATCAGTATCAGCGATAGCTGGTTTTTTAGCGGGGGCGCGTGTCTTAGTGCATGTTTTTAACAATGGTTGTTTAATGTAACCAGCACATTTCATCAGCGCATGTATAATAATACAATGTTTTACAAATATCAGTAGCAGCGCGCGTTATAGTCTACGTGGTATATTTGGTAAACTAGTGACTTTTAACGATGGTCTTAAACTCAGCGCGTGGTATAAATATTCTTTAATAATCAAGTGTTAATAATAAAATGTTATTAAAATATCAGTAGCAGCGCGCTTTATAGTCTACGTGGTATATTGGATTAACTAGTAGTCTTTAACCATGGTCTTAAAACCCAGCGCGTGGTAGAAATATTCTTTAATAATTAATTGTTAATAAAGTATCTTTTTAAATCGTTGTGTCGGGCGAGAAATTTCAGGCAACTAAGCCTGAAATTTTGAGCGAACAATGTCATAGATGCTCTTTAAAAAACTATGGAATCTATATGTTTTTTTAATTTGTCTGTCAAGCGAGTGCCATATGTACATGTTTAACAATGTTTTATATAATTTTTGTTAAAAGTGTTTTTTACTAATTGTTTCAGGATTTTGAATTTTTTTGTATATCGCTTTTGTATTAATTACTTATTACAAACAGTTATGTGATATGTATTCAAACATGAGGATTATTCTTCATCTTAAGTTTTAGCTTGGTAGTTATCTTTAATAAATTTTTTTAATTTTTCGATTTCATCATTTACAAATTTTTTAGTTGATAGAATATTATCTTTTATAGTAGCTCCGAAATTTTGCGCAAAACCATTATATGACATAGATAATGTAGATTGATGTTGTGAATAAACTTGAATTTTGGTTAATCCATTAAATGCTGTCAGCCATTTTCTTTTCCATTCGTCATAATCAATTGAAACTGCAGATTTTTTTGGTTCAATAATAATATAAATATAGTTTAAATCATCATCAACACAGTATACGTAATATAAATCTAGTAATGCATTAACTATCTTTTTTTCATTATCATTTGTTAGTTTAATAATAAATTTTTTTTTAATCTTATCTGCCATCATATCTAATTCAATTGTTTTAGAGTTATCAGACGGATTTATTAATAAAAGTGTAAATTCAATAAATTTAACATTATTAAAATAAATTCTGACAGTATCTTGTCGGCTATTAAAATTTTTATAATTTAATTGATTGCTATGGTATACTACTTTACCATTTACTCTGCTATCAATCTCATTCTTTGTATAATAGTTAGTTAAATTAGAGGTCAAAGCATACTTACCATCAGCTTGTGTTTTAGTATAATAGTTAGTTAAATTAGAGGTCAAAGCATACTTACCATCAGCTTGTGTTTTAGTATAATAGTTATTTAAATTAGAAGTCAAAGCATACTTACCATCAGCTTGTGTTTTAGTATAATAGTTATTTAAATTAGAAGTCAAAGCATACTTACCATCAGCTTGTGTTTTAGTATAATAGTTAGTTAAATTAGAATTTAAAGCATACTTACTATCTGTTTCAGTCTTTGTATAATATTTACCATCAGCTTGTGTTTTAGTATAATAGTTAGTTAAATTAGAATTTAAAGCATACTTACCATCTGATTCATTCTTTGTATAATATTTATTTAAATTAGAACTTAAAGCATACTTACCATTTGTTTCATTCTTTGTATAATAGTTGGCTAATCTTGAAACAAAAACATATTTATTATGAGCTTGTGTTTTAGTATAATATTTTAGTAAATTAGAAATCAAAGCATACTTACCATCAGCTTGAGTTTTAGTATAGTAGTTATCTGATAGATGTGTTTTATCTACAGGTCCTTGTATATTTACATTAATATCTGTTTTATCATGCCCATAAAATAAGCTCATTTATATTATTCCTCAGATTTTATATCCTGTTTATTATTTTTATGTTCATAAACATGTTTAACGGTTGTTATACCACCAGATAAAACCCTAAAAAGGTAATAGGGTGATACTTTTCTACTAAACTGTACACATCTCGTTTTAAAAGGTCGTCTGATTTAAGCTGTTTTGTTAATTCTTTGGGATCTTCAATAGCATCAAACCCTTTTAATATATCTGAAAATTTTGATATAACTAAATCAGTTAAAAACTCATTAGCTTTTTGTAATCGTTTTTTCTCGTATTCAATGTATAATTTATCAATAATTTTTTGACTAGCTTTTTTAATGTAAGCAACTGACTTGTCTAAATCACCATCTTCAGCTAGTTTAAGTAGTTGATCTCTTTTATTAAAATTTTCTTGCGGTTTATATTGTATATTATCATCACATACAGCATCTTTGATAGTATCATTTGCGGAATCAATCTCATTAATTATATCATCAATTGTTTCAGGCTCTTTACGCTTTGGCATATATATATTAACACATGTTTTATTGCGGAATAACAATTTTCCATTGGTATGGGTATACAAGTTGAAAAATGTGCATACTTATTATTTTTCAATTTTTGGTTATTTCTTCTATATCATCTTTCTCAACACCATAAAGATAATCATCAAATATTGTTTTCATATCATTGCGGTTTGTATTATAAAATGTAACTAAATAACTTATATTTTCGCGATAAGGTTTTGAAATACTAGTCAATTGCTGTGTAACCACAATAGTAGAAAGCCCATAATGGCGAGCACTGAACCCTAATTTTATTAATTGCGATGTCCTATTTTTAACATCTAAGCAACTCGCACAGTCATCAAGTATAATAAGACTATTTGTACCTTTATATACATCACTAACATATTTTAAAACAATATCTACCTGATCTTGGTCACATTCTACTTTAATTAAATCAGGATCGTTTATATATTTCCATTCTTGATAGGTTTTATTATATGATAGCGTTGGGCATCATAAAATAATATAATCAAAATGTCTATTAAAGTTTTCTTCTAACATTGTGAGAAGGTAATGACTTTTACCACAATTCGTCATGCCTACAATAATCATATTAAAGGGTGTATTCATTTATATATTACTGGTTATTTTAGTATTGAATACTTTGTAAATCATTATTAACAAATTGAACAATAGCATCACTAATGACATAGATGTAACAGTTTAAATCTTTTGTATATGCTCTCTTTTTAAGTTCGAGAAGAATGCCGTTTTGAGTACTAATGATTTTTTGTCCGTTACCAGCAATATTTTTTTCTTGAAAGGTGCGTAGATCGATAACTAATGCAAATTTATCCTTATAAAATTTTTCAATTGTCATGAAGCAATCTATCGGAATAGTTCTATCAAAAAATTTTCTTGCTTCTTCATAAAATTGTTTTTATTCATGCCTTGGTTGAAAATCAATTTGGGGTGCCTTCTATTGTCACTTTAACTTCATCAATTAATGGAATTCAAATTTTCACTATCACTAACTGAATTTTCTTTGAATAGTAGTACAATGCCTTTCATACTTTTACGAGGGACATTTACGTTTATATTCTGTAATGTACTTGACTTATCCCATTTTTCCTTTTTAAAAGGGTTATATGTTCATAAAATAGACTTCCCTTAGAATATAAATTTGTCACCTCATCTGCAATTTCTTGATTTTCAATAGTTTCATATTCTAGCTGAATATTTTCTAATTCATAATCACCGATAGTTTGGCCACTTTGAGGATAAGGACTTGATCACTTTGGTAATGTTATTATGTATTGAAAGTTATTATTCATATTGAAAGGACAATAAAGCCCATGATCTTTAAGAATATTATCAATATTAATTTTCTGCCTTGTACCATAAAATCATACATTAATTTGTCTGCTACTTTTTGTGAATCACCACTTGTTGCACCACTATCATCCTTAGAAATAAGTTTTCTTAG